ATGGAGACAACAAAATTAACGAACCCTTCCCATGGAGGGCGCTGTGATACAGCGGAACGGAACTGGCTCCGTCTCTTAGTCGCACGATTGCGAATTGGTGGCTACGCAATTTCCATACATTTCAGCAGTGGGGTGCTCTGCGGATGACCTCGCCGGGCCCCGCCACGGTAATGTGGAATTTCCATCACTAGCTCGGATTAATACCGATCCAAGGAAGCCACTCGGACGTTTATATGTATGAATATCCACACTAACATGCGAACGTACGTGTGAATATACTGTATGTAGAACTTCTTTCGCACCGTACCTAGCCAAGCGTGATAATCGGAGGTGCGGGGGAAAAACAACCTCAACACAAAAGGCAGTTGTTGTACGTCCCATCGTTAGTGTCGTGGGAAATATCAATCATTCTCACTTTCTTCCGCAAGACCAAACCGTCACACAATGCACTGTGCCAGCTATATTTTAGAATTTTAATATACTGTACATGAGTTTAATTAGTCATTGAATAATAATCAATCAGTTTTTAAAGCGCCTTTCAAATTGGTCAGCTGCAAGCGCTGTACATAAGACATAAAAAACCTTCATATAAAAATAAAACAGTGACACACCAGTAAAAAACCCAATCAGAATACAATAACACCGAAGATAAAACCCAAACAGAAACACTGGCAACAATCGGTGGAAGCTAGGGATAATACAGTAAAAACTGGTGGAAATTGTCACGATCTCCATAAAATGGGATTAACCAAAAAGAAAAGCCATCGATGAAAAAAAAGATTTTCAGACATTATTTTAAATAACCGACAGAATCAGGGATCCCGACGTCGATGGAAACAGCGTTCCACAGACTTGGTGTGGCTTCCATAATAGAGGTTTTTGGGTTAGATCGCGTAAATATATAAATGTGTCGTTAAAACCCGCCACCACCCGACACAGTCAACTAGTAAGGGTTGTCACGTAAACAGAACGTGGCCAATTCGTCACTAGTACATCACACCGGTGTGTTGGAGAGCCAAGCCACACCATTTACAATCTGAGTACGACGTTTCGTGTCTCCTGTGATAGCGAATTTGTACATGGAAGATTTTGAAACAAAAGCTATAGTGTCAAGCACACTAAAACCATCTGCTTGGTTTAGATATGTGGATGACACATTGGTGGTCTGGCCACACGCAAAGATCCACTGAACGCATTTCTAAATCATCTCAACTCGCAAAACCCATCCATCCAGTTCACCATGGAAGTGGAAGCTGACAGAACTCTACCATTTCTTGATATTCTGCTCGGACGGGTAGAAGTGGTAAAATAACACACAGTGTTTACCGAAAGAAAACGCATACTGACGCCTATCTGAATGCAGAGTCACACCATCACCCCGCACACACATCTGCTCTTATCAAGACACTCATTCGTTGTGCTAAGAAAGTGTTAGATGGTGACAGTCTGAGAAGTGAAATTCAACATGTTAAAGAAGCGCTGCAAATGAAGGGTTACAATGATGCACAAATCAACAGGGCATTGAATACCAAAATCAAATCAAATAACGAGAGCATTGAAACTGCCCAAGTAATTAAAACGATCAAAATACCGTGCATTGAGGGAGTAACTGATAAACTAGCCAGATGTTTGCAAAAACAAAACATCCGAGTCGGATTCAGCACGGTACATAAAATACAGAAATTAATATCTGGTACAAAAGATGTATTACGGAAGCTATCAACAGAAGGTGTGTACAGGATTAACTGCACGTGCGGTAAATGTTATGTTGGGCAAACAGGACGAATGATCAGCACGAGACTAAAAGAACATCGGAGAAATAATAAATTCTCCCAAATACAACTGTCAGCAGTAGCAGAACACGCGTGCCAACAAGGACACACTCAATTTATTTTGATGTTGAAGTTCTGTGAAAAACTAGCGACTACTGGCCAAGACTAATTAGAGAATCTATAGAAATTGAAAGAACTCAAAATAACTTTAACCGTTCGGATAGCTACCGTCTTAGTGCTGCGTGAAAGCGAATAATCAAATAATACATTGTTTAAATGCATGCCTACAAAGGGAAGCGTACTTCAATAGGGATTACCGTTGGTAGGGCTATTTTAATAAACACAATAGAAAGGAAGGACAAGTTCAAAGGGTTCGCATAATGCACATGCATCATGTACTTTGCCTCAGTAATCGCCCCCCTCACATTGTGCAAGAGCGCAGAAGCGTGGTCACCACATCTACATAAGGAACGAAACAGTAAGACTTCTACATAAATCTGGCTGTCGCCTGATGAAGCTAGTTGTAATTACTGGCGAAACGTCGTACTCAGATTGTAAATGATGTGGCTTGGCTCTCCAACACACCGGTTAGTGCTGTACTAGTGACGAATTGGCCACGTTCTGTTTACGTGACAACCCTTACTAGTTAACTGCGTCGGGTGGTGGCGGGTTTTAACGACACATTTATATATTTACGCGATCTAACCCGAAAACTTCTATCATGGATGATATTGGTCGCGAAAGCCTCCGTGTTGAATTGGTGTGGCTTGTTAATCCCTACCATTCGTGCAACTATTCATGTGCCTTTAAAAAAAAAGTGGACATCAGAAAACATTGATACAATGTGATTCTCATCAGTGTTAAGTGCAATCTCCAACTCTTATTGTCCACTAACTCTCTGGCCGTTCCTTTCATGTCCTATGAAGTAAGGGCCATTGTCCAAAACGTTTCCTGTTGTGTATATTTTTAAGGCCACATCGTTACTGACGAGTGTGTGTGGACTTTCAACTCTCAACTCACGAGAGGGCACCATCTCTCGCGGCACGTGCAGTCCTCGCCTAGCACATCACCAATCACAATTGCCCGGGCCGGTTAAAGTGGAACTAACCAGTGCCAAGGGCAGATCGATTACTTCATACGCACGCCTTGGCTCCGTCGGGGTTATTTCGAAACAAGTCACGTTACATAATTTCGTCTTGTGACGATGCTTTTACGTAAACCAGTCTGGACTGTGTATGCGTGCTGCTGCTGGTACGACTACAGTGTTGGATTCTATTCCGTCATATGTCGGTGTACTTTGACAGTGTAAATGGCAATTAAAGTTTGTTTTTTATGAACGGTTCTCTTTTGTCCCTTGCCAATTGTTTGCTGCGTTTGGAATTGTTTGGCACTCAGGAATCAGTTGTAATTATTTGCTTTTCGCACCAAAATGTGTCCTACCTAAGTTTACCCAAGGCTTACTGGGAACAGAAACTCGCGGTCTGAAGACGCTCCGTTATCTGATCTCAAAAGACCAAAATGCCCGAAATCTGCCCATTGTCGTCCTCAGTAGCTAAGCAGGCTCGAGAGCCTGATGAGTACGTGGATGGGCAACCTACGGGTTGCTCTGGGCGTGGGACTCCCATCGCGTGGCCAGGAGGAGAGATGGTAGCGCCGATGCGTGGTTGGGTTGCCTTCGGGTGATCCGGTCTTCCTCCCACAGGAAGCCAAACGCTCATCACTAATGCTCCGAGCTAAACGGTCCAATGTAGCAGGGCCTACCTGAACGATGATCTTCATTCTCGGCGTGGTGTTTCTGGTTGCTGGGTATTGACGGTAATCGCGACATAGCCTGGAGTGAGTTGCTGCGCCCGAGTCCTGCACTTGGGTTCGTCACACCTCGTCGCTCCGAGGTGGACTAAAAAAAACCCCCACAAAGACAGAAGGGAAAAACATCTTCTTGGTTCTTTCGGTAAAGTCATGTAGAAGGGAAATAATAATAATTGTATTATGTTAAATTTTATTATTTTATTATTTCCCTTCTACGTGACTTTACCGAAAGAACCAAGAAGATGAATCCCTGCAGTCACGAACGCTTTAAATCAAAAAAGGGAGAAAAAAAATCCATTCAAAGATTCAGCTGGCAGAAAAAGATAAACAGCCCAAGGAAAGCGCGGCTGACAGAGACCGACATGAAGGGAGGAGTGATCAAAGGGGAGATTGAGTGATTGCAGCAGCGTGGTAAGAAGGGGGTCGAGCGTGACGAGGCTTTCATCCAGAAGCAGAGCGAGATGTTTGTCTTGTTAGAAACTAAAATCTGAATCCCGTGGCCGAGCGGTGGCGCGTTCGCCGCTCGAGGCAGAGATTCACGGATGCGATTCGAGCGGCCGCCCCGGTTAATACTACTGCGGTGGTGGTGAAATATTAATCGTGGAAATATTACGCTGCACAGTGAAAGTTAAAGATCCCGTGACGGAAGTCGCAGGAGTTTTCCATTGTGTGCCAGCGTCAGGGTCCAAATTTGAAAAATGTACCCGCAAACTACTCAATTGGAATAGGCAGAGCAATCACCGCCCCTTACTGTAAAAACTCTTGAAAAATACTCACAAGACTCAGGCTATCCTGGGTGCAGAATATTAATACTGTCTATAAGTATATCGGCGAACTAATTGCAGTTTCTCCTGATTTCTCTCATTTAACTTAAACTTTCTGGCCTATCTAGGCCAGAAGGTCCATTTTTCCCGAAACGTCGCCAATTAAATATTTAAAATGTTTAAGGTCACAGTGTTATTGACAAATGTCTCGAGTTGTTTTTTTGTTAATTTGCGATTGCCGCACCACTGCCAACGCGGCAGCATCGCCGACGAACGTGCGTCACGTTGTGGGATTGCTTCATCGGTGATTTTATTTGAAGAAGAAGCAGCAGCACACACGTGGCCGCTGTGCGTGCGGTGTTCACACTGGGGAGGAAAGAGTCAACATCACTCTGTGCGTCTGTGTGTTTGCTCGCGCGCCGTGTGAGAAAGGCCAGGCGCAGTAAAGCGATCGAATGAGTAACGTGACGACTCAGCGGCCAGTGGGCTGCGGCATGAACGCAGGGAAATAAGTCCATGAAGTGTGGAGGCCTAATTGTTAAGTAGGTGCATCATGGACAAATGAGGTTACCCTGGGCACCTGCTTGTTGAACTGTATACCTATATGTGTGTACGTAGTCTGTGGGGGAAAAAAAGTATTTACAGGTATGCACTCTTGTTTAATGCCATACTTTTATTCCACATTTTTCAATTCCACAATTATTCGTGAAGGAAAAATTGAACGCCCCCGACTCAAAAAAAGTGATTATTACTCGTTACCATGATTAACAAAAACAACCATTTACAATGCGGGTAAAGCCTTTGCCAGACAGCCCGTATCATACACCAGAAACCCATCGCTAATATCTACCTTGCCTCGACACTTGACCAAAGTCCCACAATCCATCAATCACCTTTCGTGTGTATGCATTGTCTAACACACAAGACCATCAGTCACATGTAATTGAGAACAGGGTACAATTGTTTTGTGTGTATATATATAAAAGTATATGTACCCAATTTAATATCGTGACACTTTCATTTCTAACATCCGCCTACCCTTGTTACTTACTTTAGGACCTGCGCTGACCATTGTGGTGAAGTATGGTCAAACAACCCCACGACCAATAAGGCATGGGGAGGCCTTCATCCAGCAGTGGCTTGAAAAAGGGCTGTAAGCCGTTATTATTTAGTAGACATTAGAGGCTTCGGGGTACATCTCGAGTTATGTTGTGTCTATATACGTTCTCGAGTACTTTACTTTGTATAGCAGTTGCCAAAAGTAGAGTTCCTTTGTTAAGCTGCAATACACTTAAGTTTAATGAAGTGCATTACAAATTTTATTCTAATGGTAATGAAAACGAAATTTATACACAATCAAGTTAGCGTGAATGCCGAATTATCACACGGGCAGTGTTCGCGTGACCTCTCCCGTTTAAAACGTCGATTGGTGGTCACGCGTTGCAAACAACGGTCCGGTAAACAAACCATTGCGCTATCCGTGGAAGCTGTGAAGCTATGCTCACGTGGCGATATTGCGGTTTCATCTGAAATATTTTTTTCTCGGACATCAACAAAACCTCAAGTCCCAAAAGCGCAGCACGAGAAAGAGGAGTTCCGTGCCATAATAAATGTTCTTGGCATTCCGTGACGATACCATTACAGCGATTGCTTTTTCAGAAGGTGTAGAGTTGCTTTTTAAAAAAAATCAGTGTCGCAAATGACCTTCGTATTAATCCAATGACATTTCACTTACATTTATTTATCGACTGGCCCAAAAATAAAACAAAAAAGAGCAATAATGGGGGGAAAAAGCCATTTAATCGTTGATTTTTAGATTACCGTTCAGATTTGTATTAGTCTATGTTGAAGGCACCCCCCCCCCCAACCACCAAGTATAAGACAAGACATGCAGTGAATGGCCAATCTCCCCCCTTCCCCCGACTCTCCCCACACCTGTCATCTCTCTGCAGATTAATGAGCGTAATTACAGTCGGTGTTTCACGTAAAACGTCGCGTGTGTACAAGCGAATCTTCACGCACGGTCCCGTCTGCGGTACATTCTACGCCGCGACACCCAAGCACACAGCGAGCTCAGAGCACAATGTACAAAGCTTTGCTGCAATTTGTAGACGAACCCCCCCCCCCCTCCCCAACTTAAAAATAAAGACGACACTCAACAAGAGGCTCGGCGTCGATCCTAACACGAGAACACGGGGCTCCGTGAGCTGCAGACCTGGCGACGGCCCTAGTGATCACGGAGCGTTGGGTCAACGTTGGGCCAACGTTGGGCGAACGAGGGCCAACGTTGAGTGAACGTTGGGCCAACGTTGAGCCAACTTTGGGCCAACGTTGAGTGAAAGTTTCATGTTTACCGGTACACCGCAATGTGTTTTCTTTCTCTTCCAGGCCTACGAATGTCCTCAGTTACAAACACGTGGATCGATTACGCGCTGCACGCGCCCGATGATTACGAAACAGGCGTTAACATCGCGTCGGTTAATTTGAACCGGCATCCTTCAGTCACTTGAGAGACAAAGATCCCCCCCCCGTGTAGCCTTAACAGACCGCTGGGGCCAGCGCCGTCAGCAAGCATCCGTGAAGGCGCACGAGGGAGGTGGGGTGGCCAACAGCACGCCCACACACGATCTCTTATGAACTTGAAGCGGTACTTTAGCAATCACGAGGCACGTGCAGCGCGGAACGAATCGTATTCATCGTGGTCTGTCGCGAAGCGCTGCAGGTAGGGAAGACCCCAGGCCGTGTCACGACGGTGAACTCCCGTGCCCTTCCCACTCCTTAAAAACAAAACAAACACTGCGAGCAACGCGCGCAGAAGCCACATGGGGGCGCTACTACGCGCAGCTGATATCGGTGAAGGCCCCGGCGCGTCTGGCTCCCCCCCCCACCTCCTCATCCCCCGCGTTGCTTCTGCTGCCGCCGCTAAGTGCCGAGTCCATTGGCCCACCGCGGGCTACCGGGAGAGGCGGAGCGCAACCCGAGGATGGCCCGACCCGATCGCAACCGTTTAGACGCTGACGACCACACTGTGCTCACGCAGCTGTTATGGGCTGCGGATGGGGCTTACGTCTTCGGCTATGCAGAGAAATCCACCGTTGTACTAGGCTTCTATGCTCCCACGGCTATGCAACGCCCCCCCCCCCTGCCTGCGCCTGCTTTCGCCAACCGGCACTGACCAGCGTGGTGAAGTATGGTCAAACAACCTCCCACCCCAACTCCCACTATCTGCACCGCCTGTGTATTCATGGCCATCAAACGAGAATTGTGTGAGAGTGGGAAATGAAACGCACACCGAATTTAAATCTGCTATCGCTCTGAAGTCAACGCAATTGGCCAAATGGCAAAATCGGTTGCACACTTCAATTCTGTTTTGGCCACATTCCACGGCCCAACGTGCTCTGGCGCACCTGCACCACCCCCCAACCAAAATCGTGTTGCCAAAAACGGTGCCATCCATGGGTCTCGTGGTGTCTATCGTCTGTAAATCTATTTCGCCACGAGCACAAATTCGTTTAAACCCGTGCTCCCGTATATAAGATCGCGCCCTTAAAGGGCTCTCGGCTGGTCTCAAGAGAAATGAATGAGTGAATGATCTTCGCCAAGTCCGTGTGTGAACGGCCTTGCAAGTACGCGGGTTTGAGAAATGCGTAATTTCCCGCACAAAAAAAAACCCCGTGAAATACCCTATACGTGTTGCCACCGTACTGTGATCACAAAATCATTCGATAGATGATACGCACCACAAGCACACATTTACCATATATATGATAAAGTCTACTAAATAGGGAAAACCCAGGCGCCATCATCGCCCCCTGCTGGCAGACTAATGCCCCACTTGCAGGCACCCCCCGCCCTGGCTGGGCTGCAGCAGGGCATTGGAATGGTTGAGATGGAGATCTAAGGCGCTTCGAGTTACTTGAGGCATATAAGCGCCCTATATATGCAATTTTCTCATCCCATATATGATATTTAACATATATACATTTACCATATATTTTAGGCTGAAACGCCGATAATTAGCATTTCCTAATCGACCGCTAAATCCTCTTAATCCTAATTAACAAGTTATTTTATTACGCTTACGTTCAGCCCGCCCACCGGCAACTTGATAACACCATATACGATAGGTTGGTTAACCGACGGTTAAAATGAACCCTTTTAATATCGTGATTAATCGATTTAAATTAACCCGACGCGACAGCTCTACGGGTGCAAGGGGCACGCACACACATATGCACGGTCTACACCGTGTGCATACACAAGTAGCAGTAGTAATACATTCATGTAATATACACAGGGCTGAGGAGGAGGAGGACAGTATACATGCACCAAGTACAGTGGGTGTACGTTGAACTTCCTTCGCACCGTACGCAGCCAACCGCGCTCATCGGAGGTGTGGGCCTGGCGACCGAGGGTCGTGCCGCGGTGTTGACGCCTCGCGCCAAGGGGGCCTGGGTTCGACGCCTCGCTCGGGCGCCTTGCCGTGCGCGGTTTGTATGTTCTCTGTCACGCGTGAGGTTCTCCAGATTCTCCAGTTCCCTCCCCATAATTAATGTGAACAAATGTACCTTGTGATGGCATTGGCCGAACATGCCAATGCAGGACCGCTCCTGAGGGAGAGCCTTCAGACTCGGCGTGGCATTGCCACGTGAGTCATCGGGGTTTGCATCGGACCATCTTGACAATTACTCACACCCCTAAAATGTGTTTCCCTTCCTCGTTATCTTCGACCGTTTAAATTGACAAATCAAAGCGACATTCCTCCGCTCGCGTGATGCCAGTAAATCGTGCAAAGTTTGCCCAACGTCCCATGTTGAGTTTCTACGTCGAACACCCGCCTACGTAGTGCCATCTATTCACACTGCACGATGCTCAACCTCCCTAATCGCTCTCTTTAAAACATTCACATCGTGTTCGATTGTCGGCTATTCTGCCAAGTGAATTGAATTGGAATTGGGGCACACTATGTTTTTAGGAATCGGATTAAAAAAAAGTATAAATGAATCCTCTTTTAGGCTCAATTTGCGCAACAACACGATGCACAAATTCTGTTTTACTTGGAGTGCAACAATTCAGGATCGTGGCATGCAGGAATTGCTTTTTTTTGTCGTTTAAACATCATAGCGAATGCAGCGCCTTCCAACGCCTGCAGAGGTGACAAGAACCCGTAACATTAGCACGTGTGTTCATTGAAGAACGGGGGATTGTTCTGAGACTGCGAATCGATATTGATAATTTATGTGAATTAAAGATGCACTTGTTTTGAGGTTACAGCCGGTAACGATTCCCGCTCCCCTCCTCGTCGTACGAATCGCTGGGATTCGCGGTTGCCATTCAATGTTTACAATTTGATACTTCGAAAAAGAAATCATTGCGATGCATTGTAGCGCCCTTAGTGGCTGCACGGATCACATGAAGCCACTGCCAAGCAGCACGAACGAGTAAAAAAAAAGAACCACATCAATGCTCGCAGGTGCGACTCGAAGCGCGTATCGCGGGCGCAAATATAGTTTTTTTGTTTTAACCTGCGAATGACGCAACGTTACACCACATAGGTTAATCTACTCTCATTAAACTCTATAATATATTTTTTTACAATAAAATAATGTGCATTTCATTTGTATGGCGTTACAGGCCGATCAAAGAACGAGGGGATGAAAGGTGGAGATTTACAAAACAAGTTAGAGGCAGGGATTTTCATGAACATTCCTTCTAATGAGTGTGCACGACAGTTCGCTAACCAACTACGCCTAACAAAGCATAGCCTCTAGGTACAACACTGCAAACCGTCCATGTCAGGATTCATTTCACGGGCTTACTCGGACTTAGGAAAATGCAAAAGCTTGTTAATATTCAAAGAGCGTTTTCAAAAAACTGCAAACGATAAATATTGCGAATCCATTTGGTGAATAATTTATCAGGAATTGTTTGTTGTTTTTGTCATATACCATCGGAATAAATTTCAATAATTCAGTTTTACAGGTCTGTGTCACTGTAACCCTGTAACCATAACAGCCAATTCTAAGCTCTTGACTTGTCGAAATAGGCCCGGACAGCAATAGACCTTGATATTAATATTCGTGCAATGATTCACTTGTAACGCGTTTGACAATCGCCGCACATCCTCGAGCACATAACCTCTGCACCTCTGGCTGACAAATCAGAAGGATGTCCCCCCCCCTCCCCATCTCCCACCCCCATCTCCCCCCCACAATTTGACACCAGTCCAGATAGGGTCAAGCGAGCTTTCGGCCAAAAGAAAAAGTGTACATTTTGGCAAAACGATTGCGCACGCGACGCACGCAGTGATGTTGGCAATGTGAATGTCAAGGCCACACGGACGGAGCGGTGCCAAAAACACCGATCCTGAAAAACTGGGCCCAGAGCGATCCAAGGACGGACGCCTTAAACCGGCTCGAACACCGGTCACCACGTGCGCCGGGTCCCCCCCTCCCGCGTGCCCGGTGTGCAGGGACTACCGGTCGCGTACACGTGAGCGTGGGTCGCGGTTAGCACACAAAGCCCAGTGTATTCATTAAGTCACTGTTGTTAATTAATCACGAAATCCCAACGTCTACCTCCCGCGGTAATCACAAAATCATAACGGACCGTCTGTGTGCACGGAAAACCTGACAAACTCATAACCTTTACATCGCCCAGCCCGGCATTTAGAGGCAAACAGCTTGTAGAGTTCATCGCGTACAGGACCACTACACGATTGGCATGATTCACAACCGACAAACGAGACGCACACGGCGGTGGCCGAGCAGCGAGTCGCTACCGCGGCGCTGCGCCGCCCTCATTTATGCTGGCCTTGGGATCCCACCCCGCCGCTACCACTGGTGCCACCGCCGCTACCGCTGCTGCCGCTGCTGCTGCTGCTGCTACTGCTGCTGGTGGTGCGACCGGTGTGGCGGAAGGAGTGGAACACGCGGATGGCCTTGTGTCCCTGCAGCGGAGCGTTGGGGTCTCCCGCGTCGGCCGGAGATTTTCCGTTCTGCTGGTAAGGGGTTGGGTGGTGGTGGGAAGTGGTGGTGGTGGTGGTGGACGGATGTGGCAGTGGATGGTAGCAGTTGGTAGGTGGTGATGCAGGTGGTGGTGGTGGCGGCGAGGAGGGATTCGTGGGAGAGAGAGAGAAGGAAGAGAATCAGTGACGCACGAGTCGACTGCCCCCGACACTCCCTTGGGTCGTGCAGGGAGCCCTGTGCAGAGAGATTAAAGGTGCTTTGTTTCCGGCTGCAGCCAAGTGTCTATTGTCTAGCAGAGAATGTCTCAAACTCCGCTTCTCTTATCCACCGATAAAGTGCATGTCTCCATGGGAACGCCACAACACTGCTATGAAACTCACATCATTACCCTCTCCACCACCGCCGCCACCGCAGCAGCGGCACACGCAGCCATTCATGTTGGTCGTGCTGCACTTCAGCAGGGTTACTTTTTAGATTACAATCCTTGGCGTTGGGCGACGTTTGCACCGGCCCCACCGCTCACCAAGGCTTCGTTTTTGTCGCCGTGAATTTTGCCTCCAGGTACACAAACTCAGGCCTCCTTTGCAAAAGCCCTCACCCACATCTAAAAAGAAAGGCAATCGACCAAGGTGATGAATCTCCAGGATTGTCTTTAGTTGTTTGGTAAACTGTCGGAAGGCGTAATGATACATCGCTTTAAACTGCTCTGGCAACAATTGGGGATTCTTTTGTTTTATTTGCGCCCGTTGCACGGAATGGGTTCGCATGACCCCTGCAGACACTTAGCGATACTCTAAACTAAAACTATTCGAATATAAACCATTTTATTTGACCAGGTAAGGCCCACTGAGCTATGACGCTCTTATTCAGAAGTGACCTGGTCACAAATGATAGCCCAACGAAGTGGCTTTTCACGTGCACATTTATAGCAGCCATATACTATAAACGCGTGTTGATAATTATAAATGTGGAGGGACCCGCAGAAAAATCCACGCGACCACGGTGAGAACACGCAAACTCCAAATATACAACAGGCGTCAGGGTCGGGTATGCATTAATCCGCTGTGGGAGGGGGGGGGGGTCAGAACCGTTACACCTCGAGGGGCCCATCGAGATGGATCACACTGCAGCAGGGTTCTCGTAGGCAGATCGCATAAAACACGAATGGGAAATTCCTCCGCATCACATTGCCAACGCTCCAGCTGTGGCGCTCGCTCGACACGCAGCACGCGGCATGACGCCTGCCCCAGCCTCGCAAACACCGACCCCCTACCCCCTCCCCCCCCCCCCCCGGTGCCACCAAACGGACCGCGGCACCCGGGGTGGCGCCGAGGGACACCCGCGACGAGCCCAGGACATCGGGGTTACCTGCTGAGCGCCGTCCGCCAGGCCCGCCTGCCGCGGCACGCCGGGGTCCCTGGGAGCATGCGCCGAGGGGTGGCCGCCCCCTCCAACGCCGCCGCCGGTGGGGGTCACCGGCGTCACGGCGTTCGGCGACGTGCCGGGGGGGCCCTGCACACGGGGAGGGGTCGGTGGGTGTTGAGGAGATGGAAACGGGGAAGGGATGAAGATGGAAGAGGCACGGGGGAGGGGGGGGGGCATGGCGTTAGCGCTTAGGGGGCGACTGGCAGCGTTGGGCCATCCCAGAAGCGGTTAGTAACTGTGACAAAATCATTTTGTATTGTGTTAATAAATTAGGGTCACACGCGGGGGGCGGGGTGGGGGGTGAGGGGCAAGCAGTGGGGGCGTCGTCCCAGCTAGCGCACGGGGTACACGGCACGGTCGCTGTCGTTATGTCCGCCCCAATCGCAGCCAGACGCAGATTAGCTGGCTGCTCTCTGGCTGCTGAAAATCAAAATCCCAAGAACTTGCAGAGAAAACGAAGTTCCATCTCCACGCAACCAAACACGGGTGCCGCGCGCCACTGACTCCGAACCACTTTCCCCATCCTGACTCTGGACAGGGTGAAAATGTTACGAAATAACTACGTTCAATTCGTCGGTGTGGGATTGCATGGGGTGGTGGCAGCTGCCCCACTTTCTCCTTCGGACAGAGGGGTAGGAGCCACCATGCTTCACAGACCCCTCCCATCCCGCCTCCCCCAGCTACTCAACTCGGCTGATACCGGCCACACGATCCGCAGCTTCACATCCGTTCCGGCGCTCCTAAATCACACCGCGCTGCCCTTGTGGTCACTGCCGGTGAAAAGCCCGCAACTTGCAGATGCGGGCATGAGAGAACGAGCGGCGCGCCGCGTGCCCAGGTCCCCCCCCTCCTCCCACGCGACCCCGCGTGCATGCGTGCGAGCACAGGAACGAGCGAGCGAGATCGCAGAAACCGCCACCCCCCCCCCCCCCACCCCCGTTCGCGTGCGTCGCAGCGAGCGCCAAGCGGACGTGCCGTGTACCCCGAGTCTAACTTCACCCACGGGAGGTGCACGGGGGGCCGGGACGCATGCAGGCTGAGAGAGCGAGCGCACGCGCACGCACGCGCGCATGCTGGTGCGGGGATATGCAGGCGAGCGGCTGTGCGTGAAGGGAGACAGGGTTATCAGAGCGGGCGTTGCGAAACCCTCGCCACGAGCGGTTCAATTATTTTTCTGCCGGCGTCATCGGCCCCACGGCCTCGCGCAGTGAAAACCTCAAAAGGGGCGGCCCCAAATGTTCCGCCCCGAGCCTGACGGGGCAGGGTTGCTCACGAGCCTTGGTCGCTTGCTCATCTGACGAGGCACTTCAGCGGCAATGCGTCGGTGAAGGGTTCGCAATGCCCGGGGTTACAGAGCGGTTATCGAAACGCGCGGAGACCAACCGAGCCCCAAAGCACAAAATCCACCCCAAAACGAAAAAGAAAAGAAAAGAGGGGAGCGGCGCCCAGACCCACAGCGACCGGCGGCGCCAGTCGCACGTCTAGACACGCACGCGCCTGTGCAATTATGCATGTCGCGAGGTGCGAAAATTGTAAAAAAGAAATTAAACAAATGCAAGGAAATAAATAAAGGTACTGAGCAAGTCACAGCAGATTCCAAACGATGCACATCGAGTCTACGAGCAGGCTGCATGTACATCAGTGCACTGGCGGGTACACGAGCGTACATGCCAGCGATTAAAACTGCGATTTCCATCCTCCTGCACTGGTGGGGATGGAAAGACGCGGGCAGTTCAGGTTAAATGCACAGAGTAAATAATAATAATGCTAGCAGAAGGAGTGATAGTTTAGTAATATAAAGGCAAGCTGAGTGCGAGCGGTGTCGCAGGTGAGGTCACAGTTGGCCGCGTCAGCATCTCGCCGGGCGGACCGCCTCGAACCGCTCCGACAGCGCAGAGGCCCAGTCACTCCCGCGAGAGATCGAAGCGGAGAGCACCCAGAGAACTCATCACAGAAGCGGGTCCAGGGAGGAAAGAAGGAATGTTTGTGCGGGCTGATTTGAGAAAAACACAAGGGAACCTGTAGCAACTGATCGGCAGACAGGGATGGCTTTGGTAGCAGGGGTGGTTTGGATTTTACAGATGTTTTTTTTACGCTGGTTTTCAATTTCTCTTCTCGTGGCCGCTCCTCCGTGATCTGCTGTGGTGAAGCCGCAGCCGCCACCGCCGCCGCTTTATCATCGACGGGCGGTGGCGTCTTGGGCACGGAGATCTCCTTAATCGTGGTCTCCAGCTCTCGGATCGTCTCTTCCAGGCTGTCCAGGCTGCGGTAGGTGTTTTGCCGGATCTCCTCGGTGCGCTCAATGCTCATACCTTCTTCTTCTTCACCCTTGCCGCTGCCGCCACCACCCCCGTCGCCACCGTCGCCGCCGCCGCCATCGTCATCACCCGCAACCCCGACCTGAGGGCCCTGCGGTGGAACCGCCGCCGACGCCGACGCCGCTTTGGCTACCACCCGCGAACCCCTCTGCTCGGAACCCACCAGAGCCGCCCGAGAGGAGTCGCCCTCGGGCCCCGGCGCCTCCCTGCCCTGCGCCGCCGCCGACGGAGGCGGCGCCTGGGTGGCCTGCTCGCGATCCGGCCGCTCGTCCCCGTCCGGCACCAGCTCCAGGGTCTTCTTCCCCGAGCGCGTTCCCGAGCGCAGCGCCGACGTGAGCGCCGCCAGCTGCTTGCGGGGGAAGCGGATGCGGAACTTGGAGGAGGACGCCGTCTTGCCGTCCTTGTCGCCGGCGCCGTGCTTACCCTTGGTCGGCGCCGTGGCGCCCGCCCCCCACCCCCCCCGCGCCGCCCCCCGGCGCGCCGCCTCCGCGTCGTCCCAGGGCGCGGCGCCGCCCGCGTGCTCCTGCGCCGACTCGGGCATCGGGCTGATCTCCACGTCCGAGAACTCCGCCTCCCGCTCGGCGGTGGAGTTGCGCTGGCTGGGCGAGGAGTTGCCTTGGCTCTGCCAGTCCTGCTCCATTCGGTCCAGGTCCGACTCCTCGAAGATGGTGGACAGGCGCTTGTAGGCGGCGCGGATGTCCATGGGCTCGTCGAATATGACGATGATGGGCTGCTTCTTGCTGTGGTACGTCGTCTGGGAGGTCTCGGAGGTCTGGGCCTCGCCGTGCGCGTAGCCTGGGGCCGCCGCGCCGCTGCCGCCTCCCCCTCCCGTCGCCGCGTCCGCGCCGTCGCGGCCCCCCCCGCCGTGGCCCGCGCCGGCGCCCGGCCCCGCCTTGTTGGTCACCATGAGCGAGGTGACCTCGTCGCCGGCACCGCTCACGATCTGGGCGGCCTGCTCGTGCGACATGGCCTGCACGTGGCTCTCGCGGATGAGGAACGCCAGCTTCTCCTTGACGACGCCGTCTGCTCCCTCCTCCTCGCCGCCGCCGCCGCCGCCGCCGCCGCCGGGGGGCACCGTCTCCGAGGTGATCTCCTCGATGTAACGGATCGTTATGGTCTTCGGCGCCTGCGCCCCGCGGTCCAGCACGCCGCTCTGCTGGTACACCGTCACCGTGCTCTGCTGGCCGTCGCGGGCCGACGACTGCGTGAACGTCTCCCTGGTGGCCCCGGCGGGAAGGCCCGCGCCGACCGGGCCTTGCGGGAAGCCCGGTTCCAAAGCCGCCACGACGGCGCCGGCGCCCTCTCGTGCCGCGCCGTTCCCGGCGGACGTCCCCCCTCCGCTGGCCGGTGGGACCGCCGACGCGTCCTCGGCCGTGGCACGAGGCTCCGCCAGCGGCCTTCCCGCCGGCTCGTCCATCTGCGTTTGGATTTGTGGGGAGAAGGTGACGCTTCGTTTGGCGGCGGCCAGGCCTTCCGAGGGATGCGCCCTGCGCTTGCGGCCCTCCTCGGGCTGTTCTGAGCCACTCGGCGGACGGGCGGGCCGCTCGTGCGGGCCTGACCCTGTGACCTCCGCAGTGCCGGGCAGCTCGGGCGAGCGCTCGTAATACACGATGGTGCACGCATCGTCCTGGCTCTCGCCGGGCACTTGCGGAAAAGTGAATTTGCAAGAGTGAACCTGCGCCAGGAGAGAGAGAGAAAAGAGGAGAAGGAGTTGAAGTTAAAAGGAAACTAAAATGAATGCACATTAATAAAAATGTTAACGCTTAAATAATATATTAGAATAAAAGACGTTAGGAGTTACGCATTTCATTTTATACTTCACCAAACGTTACTAATAAGGCAAGAGAGTAATACTTTTTTTTTTCCCCATGAAATTGAAACGTTACCGGTGTTTGTTATAATTGCAATTATTCATACCCTCGTCGAGAGAAAGAAAGAAAAAAAGAAATCCCCCACCAGTGCGGTTTTGCTCAGGGAGAATTGGATGGGCGCGTTAACTCGAATTAATGCTCTGAATAACGGCACTTTGTAACCGACTGCGAGAGAGAAAGGCACAATCGGGCGGGCGGGCGGGCGGGCGTGCCTCAGCAGTAACCTGTACCATCGTTCTGATGAGCGATGACATCATCCCGCCAATACGTTCCGTGACGGCACATTCACCACGGCTGCATTACCGTTAAAAATTAATAACGCCCGTGCATTTACTACGTCGGGTGCGCGCGTGTGCGATGTCATCGGCGGCGAGAGGGAGCGAGCGCGCGTCCCTCTGTGTGTGTGTGAACGGACGGTGCAGCAGAGCGTGGTACGTGCGTGCAAACAAGCGGCAAGCAAGCAAAGCCATGCGTGGGTCCAAATTACCAGCAGATTATTCCGCTGGTGAAACACAGGGCATCGTCGCTCCCCGTTGCAAAAACTTAGCACGACCCTCCTACAAAAAGTGACCAGAGACCCAGTGAGGCTTTCCTGAGTAAGTAGATGAAATGCACGAAATGTATTGTGCGTGTGTGTGCGCGCATGTGCGCGTGCATGCAGGGAGGTTAGGGGAGCGTTGGTGCAGCGGTTATGGCACTGCACTTCGAACCCCGTGACTTGAGTCCAATTCCCGCTCACGGCCAACACCGATGACGGTTTTCTGAATTGGTCCTGGCTCTCCCGTAGGTCGACTCAGCCTTAAATAACTACCTAGCGTGATGTGTAAACATCACCACTGGGGGAGTCAAAGGCTGCCGTACGTGGTGCTGGGCACCCACTCCCTCGTGTGACGTGCCGGCCTTCATAGGCGCTGCTCGCTAACAGCACTTGCCCTAACAGTCTGTTAAAGGCTACACGGGGAATCTGTGTCTTTGCCTGTGAAGCCACGTGTGCCGAGGTCTCAGATGAATAACCGAGACTAAACTGGCGGGTCACGCCGACGAGCGGAGCTTGCAGAGATGCGGAGGCGATCAGGAGATGGCAGTACAGAAAGTGGGTTTGGTGCACCCCTCCGCGTAGAGCTTGGAGCGTTATCACCTCGAGTGCGTTGGCTTTCTCTGGGCACTCTGGTTTCACAAAGGGAATTGGCAGGGGAGCGAGAGTGTGAGTGGGCAGGGCGTGCAGGGCGTGCGGGTGGCAGGGGAGCGAGAGTGTGAGTGGACACAGTGTGCGGGTGTTCACATGCTTGTGTGTTTGTGTACACGTGTCCGTGCGTATGTACGTACGTGTCTGTGTACATGCACGCGTACATGCGTACGCGTGCATGCACACGATTGTTTGTGCGCGTCTGAGCATGCGTACGTGTGCGCGCATGCGTGCATGTATGTACGTGCGCGTCCATGCGCGTCCATGCGGGCGTACGTCCACGAGTGTCCGTGCGTGCATGCGAACGTGCGTGTCCGTGTGCTCGTACGTCCGTGCGTGCATCCATGCGTGCCTGTGTACGTGCACGAGTGTCCGTACGTGCGTGCGTGCGTGCGCCCACCATCATCTCTTCCCCCGTGGGAGAAATTACTCTGAGATCCTCGCTGCACGGCAGCCCTGGGCCGCCGCCGATTCCCCGGCAGGCGTCGGCGCCCTGGAGTCGCATAAACCCCGGCAGAGAAGTCAACACCACAGTGCAGCTCCCCCCCCCCCACCAGACAGCCCCCACAAAAACCTGCCTCCCAGCAGGGGCATCGCTACGCAAAACGCCGTGGACAAAACTGACGGAGGGACTTGTGTGCGTGGCTGCTTGTGTGTGCGTGGCTGCTTGTGTGTACGTGGCTGTGTGTGTGTGTGGCTGCGTGTGTGTGTGCTTGTGTGTGCCTGCTTGTGTGTGTGCCTGCTTGTGTGTGTGTGGCTGCTTGTGTGTGTGTGCCTGCTTGTGTGTGTGTGGCTGCGTGTGCGAGGCTGCGTGTGTGTGGCTGCGTGTGTGTGTGGCTGCGTGTGTGTGCTTGTGTGTGTGCCTGCTTGTGTGCGTGCCTGCTTGTGTGTGTGTGCCTGCGTGTGTGTGTGGCTGCGTGTGTGTGTGTGCTTGTGTGCGTGGCTGCTTGTATGTGTGGCTGCGTGTGCGAGGCTGCGTGTGTGTTGCTGCGTGTGTGTGTGCCTGCTTGTGTGTGTGCCTGCTTGTGTGTGTGCCTGCTTGTGTGTGTGGCTGCGTGTGTGTGTGTGCTTGTGTGTGTGCCTGCTTGTGTGTGTGGCTGCGTGTGTGTGTGTGTTTGTGTGTGTGCCTGCTTGTGTGTGTGGCTGCGTGTGTGTGTGGCTGCGTGTGTGTGGCTACTTGCCGTTTTTGTTGGGTCGGCGGAAAGTGAGAAAAAAGAGAAGCAAAACGGGGAATGAAATGATAGAATGCGCGTTCAAACAAGTTGGCCTCCTGGGTAGGGAGATGGTTTTGCTCATCGAGGCAAGAACAGAAATAAAATGAATTATTGAAAAAAACGAAGAGGTGCTTTTACTTAATAAATCATGGCAGGGGGCAGGAAGGCAACATTACGTCGTTAGAATACATAGCTAGAGATATGGTAACTAGTTGTAAGTAAAACATAAAATAAAATTCTCACATTGAGAATTTTATTTTATTATTATAATTCTCACAGCGAGAATTTTATTTTATTATGTTTTATTTTTATTATTTTATTTCCCTTCTACGTGACTTTACCGAAAGAACCAAGAAGATGAATCCCTGCAGTCACGAAAGCTTTAAATCGAAATTTAGTTGTAAGTAACTAAATAGCAAATATATGTATAGAGAGAGAGATAGCATGGGACAGAGAAACGCAAAGATAAATAAAAGGTTAAGCCTCTCATCATGAATCAGCGCCATGACATTTCTATGCCCGTGGGTCGCAGTGAGTGTCACACTGGCTGTGCGTGCGTGTGCGTGCGTGCGAGTGCGTCCTTGGTGCCACGGAAAGGACAGATGGGTGACCGAGCAAATGCAGCGAGCGGACAAGACAACTGGCGATCTGGCGATGGTGGTGGCGGACGGTTTCATGCAGGCAGGGAGTCGCGGGGGTGGTGTGGTGGTGGGGGGCGGCGTTTGCTGGCTGCAACGACGACGGGGGTGGCGGCTGCTGCTGCTGGCACAGGCGGGGGGTGGAGCATGCGATGGCGCGGCGGCGGCGACACCCCGGGGGGACCCTCTGCGTCTCCTCGCGACGACGGCATCTCTCGGCGGTGTTGTAATCGCGTCGCGGGCCTCTGACGGAGCCCTCTCGGCGTTCCCGGGTGGCTCTGCCCCCCCCCGCCCCCCGAGCCGCCGCCGCCACCACCGAGAGGGTGATCGATCTCCGAGCGGTGTCTCGTCGATGGGCCGCGCCTCGCTGAAAGCGCTCAATGGAGTCGAAGCCGGCCCAGGGTCGCGAAGATTAAACAAAAGCCACTGGGAGGGTTGATCTGGAATGCCTCTCTAATTCGATCGATTCAATGATTTCCTTTCGTATGATGAAATAAAACGGTTTCTTCTTTACAGGGATATACTTAGACAATTATCAATGATATCGAGGCTAGGATGCTGAAATTTGGTATAAATATTGTCTCGTCTCTGCCTATTATGGCATAATCCCAAAACCTAAATTTCGGCACCAAAAATTACAGGCCAGAAGTTGATTGACTAGTTTCACTCATAGGATTAGGGTCGGCCTAAAGAATATTGGTTTAATATTTACGCAAAACGATTACATCATCAGTGAACCAAGTAATGTGCCTCCCAGAGAGTGTGCTGCTGCAGAAAGACACTACACTCCCATACATACACACGCACGTGTATGACCAAATCATCGGATCTTAGTAGCTAAGCAGGCTTTGGCCTGGCTTGTTCTTGGAGGGGTGACTACAGGAGCTTGCGAGGTGTTGTGGGTCGAGCATCTTCAAGATCTCCCACGAGATGGCAGCGTTGAATATTCACCCCGAGGATGTGGAATTTCTCCAGGTTCTCCCAAATTGAAGCCAAACCATCCCAATGTAGCAGGTACCTCATGTAAAACGTTCTTGAGGCTCAATGGGACTTTGCAAAGTGAATATTAAGTGTAACTGTTATGACGCTATTATAATCATATTCTGTACACACACGTGGCCTAAGAGAGCTGGTTGAAGTGTCGCCCCTTGTGTCACCGGAAGCGGCATTGTGGGAATTTGCATCGTGGCGGAATGGAGATTTCCATGCGGATGCAGCGATGGCAGCGGCAATGTAGGGACAGCGCGACGCCGCACGAATAGCTTGGCGTCGCACGAATAGCATGGCGTTGCACGAATAGCATGGCGTCGCACGCACGCACGACTGACAAACGTCAAACACCCGACGATGAAGGCGACGGGGGGGGGGGTGCAGCGGACGGAACGATGGGGCATGGGACAGAGCAGAGGGTTTTGTCCGTCTGCGAAACGGAGCCAACTTGCCTCCTCGTCAATAAAGAGGTGGGCTGCTGCACGGTCCCAGGGCTCAGTGAGCGTACAGTAAAAGTAAGGGACGTAGTAGGATTGCTGGAGGTAGGACTGTGCACGCGCGCGCACAGATAAAACACACGCATGCAGACACGCACACACGCACGCAGACACGCACACACGCACGCAGACACCCACAGATGCACGACGACACGCACACACGCACGCAGACACGCACACACGCACGCAGACACCCACACACGCACGCAGACACGCACACACGCACGCAGACACGCACACACACACGCAGACACCCACACACGCACGCAGACAATCACACACGCGCGCAGACACGCACAGACGCACGACGACACGCACACACGCACGCAGACACGCACACACGCACGCAGACACGCACAGACACAAGCAGACACGCACAGAGGCACACAGACACGCACAGACGCGCGCATACAGACGCACGGGCAAACACGCGCATCCGCAGAGAAGGACAGCACGGCGTAAAGGAGAGTAAAGATGGCTTTGCATAGGTACAGGAATTTTGCACATACATCGGCATAGATTAGATATAGGCAGAGACACAGTTACAGTCCTCTTCCTCGACAGTCTCCTTGCGCGAGTGTATCTCTGTGTGTGTGTGTACACACGTGTGCGTGTTATTGCACTTGTGTGGATCGGTCCTGGGCCTCCCACAAGGTTGACTCAGCCTGAAAATTAGTACCTGTAAGAGAGTGTATAAATTTCAGCAATGGGAAGACAAAGGCGGGCGGGCGGGCGGGTGGGCGGGAGTGGTCCTGGCCATACCACCCACCATGTGGACCGTGCCGGCCCGAATAGGAGCTCGCTAATAGAACGTTGCCCCGACAGTCTGTTAAAGGCTTCATGGGGGATCATTGTGTGTGTATGTGCGTGCAATTTTCTGACGCGTTGCATTCTTCCATGGAACATGAATGCGGGGCATTGTGGGAGATCGCAGCGGGCCGAAACGCCAGAGCAGCGGCAAAACGAGAGGCGTGCACAATCGACGCACTAAGTGCCGGTAGGGAGGGAGGCGGGCAGCAATCGTGGGGAGCAAGCGGGGCCCTGCAAGAGTGGGAGGGAAGACGACGCAGCTGGGTACTCAATAACAGGAGCCGAGGTCGTTCACGCGGACACTAAGCCGTTAACAGTTTCGCCAACAAATGCCATATGGATAATAAAGGAATGAAGCTCATTAAGGTTACGCCGAAGCGATGGTAGCTGCAGTAATTGAAAACGAATGTAAAAGTGTTTTTTTTTAAGCAAACGTATTATTCTTTAGTTCTTTCGGTAAAGTAATGTAGATATAATAATAATAATAAATGAAGTGAATACAAATGGTAAAAATAAAATAAAAATAATAAAAAACAAAAACCACTAATGTCGACTGTGGCCTGGTTCTTAATCGGAGTGAGTGTACTGGCAATCTGTAATGCAGACTGTAGCCTGGTTATTAAGTTTAGTGAGTGTACTGGAAGTCTATAATGTAGACTGTAGCAATGGTCAAGCTGGGTGAGTGTGCTGGCAGTCTATAATGTAGACTGTAGCCTGGTTCTTAACCTCGGTGAGCCTACTGGCAGTTTATAATGTAGACTGGTAGCCTGGTTCTTAACCTGAGTGAGCATACTGGCAGTCTATAATGTAGACGTATTATTGGTTCTTTCAATAATAAAACAAGTAAATGCTAAAATTATTATAATAAACCACGACGTTTCGATCGCAACACCAGCAGTCGTCATCAGGGAAAAAAACGCTTGTGTTGCGATCGAAACGTCATGGTTTATTTTATTTTATTTTTATTACTGAAAGAACTAATAATAATCTTGATTTGTTATTTTTTGTCATTTTATTTCAACCTATCTACGTTACTTTACCAAAAGACCCAAAGAATATGAAAACCAATAACAAGTCTACATTATAGACTGCCAGTACACTCACCCAGCTGAATAACCAGGCGACAGTCTACATTATAGACTACCAGTACACGCACCAAACTTAATAACCAGGCTACAGTCCACATTACAGATTGCCAGTAGACTCACTCTGATTAAGAACCAGGCTACAGTCTACATTAGTTTTTTTTTATTCACTTTATTTTTTATCATAATTTTTCTAAGTGACTTTACAAAAAAAAGAATATGATTTCCTGCAGTCATGAAAGTTTTAAGTAAAAAAAAAAGCAAACGTATTGTTTGGCATTTCGTGGACTGTGTACGATGGCCACGTTGTCCTGAGCGTACCGCGATCGCCAGAACTTGGAAGCCAAGCGGGTTCGGGCTCGGTTTGGTGCCTGGGTGTGTGGTTGCCCGGCAATGCCCGGTGTGACAGGCAAAGGGCTTTAAACATGTAGCCAGCAAAATCTCATCAGAGGAATTCACGATCGATGCTTTGAGTGGTGTTCCGCGGTGTGTGCCGGGGTGTTCTCTGGGGTCTCCCGAATCCTGGCACACCTGTTAAATGGGACTCAACGGACATCCCAAAGCCGGACCCTTTCGGAAAAAAATAAACCTAGAGATTCAGCCAGGATGTTTTTTAAGTGTAAATAATTTACGATGTTGTTGATTTTATTTGATTTAATAACAGGTAATGCGCGCGGTGATCGCTCGCTTTATGAAAGAAAGGCGTTAAGCAGGCAGTAACGCAGCCCAAAATTCCCCCGAAAGTTCTAAGGTCCTTCTACATATGATTGTGGAAATCGGCCATGTCATGAGTCTTTACAGGAGGGAGGAATGAGCAGCACCCAGAGAAAACCCATATGTACGAGTGGGCATCACTGTACCCCACACAGAGACGAGTTCACACTTTCCTTCTCCTGGCAAGCTAGGTCATGGCACCTCGCTCGACGCCTAGGGGAAGGATGATTCACAACATCTGCCAGTGATCCAACAACCCTCGCTGCTGCCTCCACAGCGCTGGGTTACAGGCATGCGCCACCACCTCCCAGCTAATGTATTGCTCGTAGTTTGTTAATTTGCTCGCGGAAGTGTCGGATAAGATCCTCCCATCCCCGATTGTTGGTCTTCTAATCGTCGCGAAAAACCAGCGAGGAGCCAATATAAGAAGAGGTTTTGCCCTTTTTTATGGCAACAAAAGAGGTGTCAAGATGTTAAAACACCAAACTTAAATCTTTTGCAAGGAATCATGTCTGCATTAACCACAGATACATGTGGTGAAAATAAAAATAAAAACATGCTCTGACGGTATGTGCATTGTCTTTTAAACTGATTGGTCCACACCATCAGTTTGAAAGACAATGCATATCCCAGCCTACCACCTTCCAATGTTAGTGGTTCTCTTCGGCTCTCTGATTTTTTACATTAACAGATTAAATTTCTCACTAACACAGCTACCTTGCGTGCCATCCTCGATACTGCTGCTTCATGATCTGCCATTAACATGCTAACCTCTTACATTGACATAGCCACCTTGGCGCACTCACAGTGAAAGTCTCGACGATCTTGCATTGACATGCTAATTTCTGTCTGACAGCCCTGAGATTGGTGGAAAGCCCACCACCGCCGCGGTCGCTGTCCACCACTTGCATCGGCATTGGCTGCTGACATTTGGGCTACGCCCATTTCAAACCTTTATAAGCAGTTGTCTTTAGAAGCTAACCCCCCTTTTCCTGATAACCACCGCTAGTGTTGCGATTGAAACGTCGTGATATTTGTATTTTTTTTCTATCTATGTGACTTTACCGAAAGACCCAAAGAATATTAATTCCTGCAGTCACGAAAGCTTTAAGTCAAGATTTAAGTCAATATTTAATGTATATTCTGTCAGAAACTGATTGGTCCACACCATCAGTTTCAAAGACAATGCATATACTGAGAGAGCATGTTTTTTGTTTGTATTTTCACCACAAGTATCTGTGGTTAATGCAGACATGATTCCTTGCAAAAGTTTTTTGGTTTGGTGTTTTAACATCTTAACACCTGTTTTGTTGCCATAAAAAAGGGGAAACCTCTTCTTATATTGCGACACTGGCAAAGGAGGTCCCATGATGAGAAGTCATTATTAACACAAATAGTTATTTAAAATGAGCTGGTGTAATGATGACCTTACGTTACATTACTCCTCTTTGCTCACTGTGGAGCATAAGTCTGCAAAAAGCCCACGCCATGCCGGACGGTCTCTAGCAGCTTGTGATGATGACTTGCTCTGCCGAAATTTACATGAGCCTCACAACTCAAGTCCACATTCCAGTTGCGCTCGAGGCACCGCGTTTCCACGTTCGCTTTGTCAACTCAAGTTAGCTGCCGTCCAATTAAACAAGCAACGACATTGGGCCATCGTTGGCACGTGGTTGGAGCGTTGGCCGAACGTTCCGTGTTTACTGGGGATTCTTGGCTGGAGGCCGAATTGTCTGGGCAAAATTGACACCCTCGGCGGAGTGTCCTGGATTCCCTCCATCAGGAACCGGCTGGGGATAGGCATGCGCCGCCAAACATGCCACGAGAAAAAAACGTTGGAGGTGGAGCGATCACTCAATTTTATGTTTGATTTGACATTCAGCGAATTCGTATTTCGTTTTTTTATTCTCCTTGCAATGCAGCCTTGACCTTTATAAGCAGGAGCATTTCTGCGGAGGTTTCTTGCTTGAAAGCGTTTCTGGAAAGACGTGCCCAATTCCTGTGATAACTGGAGTCACTAGGAAAATTGCGGTAACACCACTTTATCTAACTAAATGTAATTGTCCTTCAAATGGGCTTCATCAACTGGAGGTGATTAACTGGGACTCTGGGATGAATCAGACGCAAGTGCCCTCAAGTGTCTCCTTCAGTTGCCTGTCCGTGGAAAGTGAAGGGTGGAAAGTGAAGAATGGGAGTGTCCGTGCGTAATCGCACTGGGAGTATAAGACTCGTGGTCCATAGATTAATTAATTATTTTTAGCTAGATGAGAACGCAAGTGACTAGGATAGTCTAATTTGCAAGAGTGAGTGAATGAGTGAGTAGGTGTGTGAGATTGTGAGTGAGATGTTGGGTGAGATGGCAAATGATTGAGTGAGTTGATGAGTGACTTTCTGATTTTAAATTTTCTTTAACCAGGTGAGAACTCACGAGACCGGGGAAGAGTAATTTGCAAGAGTCACTTGGGGGTCAGTAAAATGGTAAATGCAATGATGTAGAAGCATTTTCCATTCCTTGAGCATAAATCATGGCCGAGTGAAGTGGCTGTCAATCTTCCGAGTGGTTTGTTCTGTGCCGTGTCCGCAATGGAGAGGCGTGTGAAATGCACACATGACTAGCTCTGTTGCTACTTGACACTTCACCCAATCATCAATGATGATGATAATTTGCATGAATAGTCAGTTGTCTGCCATTGTTAAGGGCCCACATCTAAAATCCAATCATTATCCTCTTTACCCAGGAATGCCTCACCGAGTCTCAAGACTGCTTTCAGGAGGGTCCTGCCAGGTTTTCTGCAGCCATGGGGGGTGTGGGGGGGAGTGGCAAACCGAGCCATCTGCAGGGAATCGTTCAGCATTGGGATGTTTGGCCGAGACCAATCACAATTCCCTGTATAAAACCAATATCCTAGGTCTCCATTGTACAAGAGCTACTGAATCTCAACAGGCGCTTGCCCCATTAAATGAAGGGCAATGCTTAGCCGGCTCATGCGCGTTATCTCGTAGACTCTGGGGAGCGTGCAAAAGGGCTGCACTTTCTTCGAAAAAAAAGAAGAAAAAAAAACAGCTAGGAGTGGATTTTTTAAGGAAGGATGATTACATACTCTATAAATATTTAAGTGGATGCCCGTGATATGAGAAAACTGGAGGAGGAGGCGTGGAGAGTGCAGAGTGGAGATTGTGCCCCCCAAGGGTGGAGGTGTGGGGGGCGAGGGGGGGGGGTTAGTGGGTTGTGACGCGCAGACAGCGGGCCCCCGCACGAGAGACGGGCGCAAGCGTAATGAGTTTGCACCGCAATAACCCAACACTGCCATTAACGCCACCCGCTCGGCCTGGCTTCATTAAATTGACTTGGCGCTTTGTGACCGTGCAATAATGAGTGGAGGTGGGGGGGGGGCAGGGGGCCTCCCCCCCCGCCGCCCCCACCCACTCCACCTCCTCCCCCTGAACGGACGGGGCAAGTGCAAGGCTGCCCTGGGTAAACATCGCCTAATTAGTGCAGTGTAAGGGGCCGCGAGGTTGCCATGTACGCCCAATTTAGCGAGGGATGAATCGCGCTGCCGGGACCGAGTGTGCTCAGGTCGGGAGCTGCCGCCCGAGACAGCCGATTTCATTCATCGCATTTCAATATATATGTAAAAAATTTGGACGTGCACATTTTCACGGCCGATGAGGGTGATGATGACGATTCATTCCAGTTATTTAAACGATTCGCCACAGTCCTAACGTGTTTTATTCAAGCGACGCATAAACGTTTTTTTTTATCATTTACCTCGGTGTCTACGCATGCCATCCGTGTTCATATGTCACAGCACTGCTGGGATGTAATGAAGAATCAAGAGGAACTGGTACGCCATTGTTAAATCGAAGTTGCCTTGTGTCTGCGTTTAACAGTGCTTCGCGATATCTATCGCGATGTACTGCGGGTCTCCCACCCAGTAAACATGCCAATGTTCAGCCAACACTTGGCACTCGGATGGAACTGTTGGATTGACGTTGGCCCAACGTTGGCCCAACATTCGACTAATCTTGATTCAACGTCAGACCAACATCAGCGCCCAATCTCTTGATCTGCGCATTCAGCACCACCGAGTTCCAGCGTGTGGTTGTGCGGCCACGACGCACGAACACACACGTGGGGGGGGGGGAGGGGCCCTCGTGGCGTGCATGTGAACCGCTCATTAGGGCTTCGTGCCGGACGATAATTTTGCATCCAGTTCGGCTCTCGTTCTGCCAGCTCGCGGTCAGACCCAGTCACCCGGCAAATATTCGGCAAGAAATGAAGCTGTGCCATTAGCCTAGCGTGCCTCGCGCCTTTTAGCTGGCTTCTCATTTCCGCTCGGAAACCACGTCACGGCCACCACCGCCTCACCCCACCGCCACCAACTGTGAGTGCGACGCCTGCAACGGGCTGCATAGGATGCATCACCGTAAATGGGGGCTGTAACATGACTACACATAGAAGTTAATGAGGTAGCCGTCTAAACGAGGGTGTCCTTGGTTTAATGATTCACCCTGCGCCCCCCCCCCCCCCCACCTCCATTATTTGGTAAAGAGTCAGGATTTGGTATCACAATTCGATTCGAGAATTGTTGTTCTTGCGCTGGTGGCTACACGAGTCGCCAATTATATAATTATATACTACACATCAGGATCAGCCACGGTTCATCCACTGCTGGATGAAGGCCTTCCGCAAGGCACCAATATCTCTCAGTAGGGGCGGGTCAGAAAGTTAGAACAACAAACAATACAAACGTCATGGGAGAACCTATTCTCAAACAGTACAAACTTCTCTGAGTCTCGAGCATCGGCCATCGTCCCCTCCTCACGGCCTAACGGCAGGCTTCGCCTTCCGCTCGTCAAGAGGCGCGGATGGGCCGGCCTACATCTCCCTGGGCCCTGCGGTGCGAACACTGGTGCCAGCGTGGTGCCCCCTACCCCGTCCTCACCGTGCTGTCCGTCAACACCTCCCTCTCGGCGCCAACGTCGAACACCTCGCACGCCTCGGCCGCCATCGCCACCGTGTTCGCACTTAGCCGCACCGGAGCCGGGCTCCGCTGGAACGCCTGCGGGTCAGGGGGGGTTGGTGGGCGAGGGTGGGGGTGGGTGAGGGCGAGCCATGGAGTGTAGATGCGGGAATGCATGGGCATATGGATTAGCAAGGTCATGGTTTGATTAGCAGAATTGGTGAGATCAAGTGTGATGGGTGGGATCATCCCACCGGGCGTGGGGGTGGTGGTAGTGGTGTACATCTATGATCCAGCACTTTGGAGGCGAGGGTTTGTGGATCGTGTGAATATTTGTTAAACTCCCAAACACTCCGTGAATTGAGCTGGGCTGGTCCATGCACCAGGCGTGCAGAAAGCAGCACGGCCGTAGGCTGTGATGAGGCTGCACGGCTCAGATAGCGGCTCTGCCTGGGAGGGCGCTCCTCAGCCACCAGGGCCAGGTAAGCTCCTTTTAGTTATCTTTGAGCCTCCAAGTCGTGGACAACCCTTTGATCATTTTGACCAGTTTTCAACATTGTGTGCCCCTAAGAGCAACGCAACTTTATCCGAGATTTTCATTTGTATTGAATAGCCTATATTGAAGTTTATCACACGCTCCGGATGGACAGACAAAGCTCATGCATAAATCCTTTCCACCCTAGTTGCAAAATATTAAAAGCTTGGCTACGTGCCGAACACATCGCCCGTTATATATTTTAGCTTTTAAGGCCTGCAGTGTTATTGATGTTGTTGAGATTTGTTTTATTAACCGTGCCTGCGTGCCCACTGCCAAGGCAGCAGCATCACCAAAATATTTATCCAAAGGCCCGTACGACTACTGAAATGAACGTTTGGCGACGATGACTGCGATGGAGGTCCTCACCTGCAGCTCTGCGAGGATGCGCTCCTCCTCCTCCTCTTCGTCATCCTCGCTGTCGAACGCGGACGCCACCACGGGGGGCCTGGGCGTGCGGTTCACGCTGGGGGGCAGGGAAGACGACGGCGTAGTGGGGGGCACTAACCTGGACACCTCCGCTGCGCTTGCGTTGGCCTCCGCATCAGACTTCTGTGGCAGCGAGTGAGTGCGTAGAGAGGAATTGGATGGCGCCAAGAGATAACACATGCATGCACGCACCCACGGGCAGACATACACATAGGCAGAAAGAGAGAGACAGGAAGGTAAGGAAACAGAGGAACAGACAGAGCACCAAAGACACATACAATAAAAACACTGCCATCATCATCATTGTGATACAATCACAACTTGTGCAAGGATACTGTATCTAAGGCTCATCATATGGGTAATTGATGTAACTTTGTCTTTGGTCATGCATGTAATGTCAGCCTGTTGTACGTAACTCTAAAGCAGGGCCATAGCCATAAGCATTGGTTTATCATAATTAGTCTTATAATAAGGCGGTGTGTGGCTGCCGATGAGGAGGTGTCCTCAGGATGGCGAGCCATGCGATTCCTTTCAGTAACTCTGGCCCAAGCGGAGCGCGGTATCGCAGCCAGCGCAGAGCTGACGAGCACCAGGGAGAGGAACAATCTGGCGGGCGGCGTTGGGAAATGCAGTCAACCTGCAAATTTGTCCACAATTTTGGCAGACAATGTCCCGTGCTCGTGGGCACCATCCTCAGAGTGTTTTACAGCCAAATAAATTGCACATGGGATGTGTGCTTTGACGAGCAATGCCCTTGATTTGTCTTGTTTACAAACAAAATCAAAATCATGCAAGGAGGTTGGGGAGGGGGGGAAACTGGGGCCCAATTGCCAGCCCAGGATTCGGCAACAGAGCTACGGAGCAGCTCAAGCAAAGCGCAAAACCACAGAATGTTAGAACAATCGCGCGGCAAGCCGCGGTTTATTTTGCTCAACAAGTAACGAGCTGTGGGTAACGGTCGTCAGAACGCGATGCTGCAGCAAAAGCCACGTGCTGATTTCTCCAGAGACAGGGACGAGCCATGATGAGACGGAGGGAGGATGCTGGGATGGAGGGGGAGGGGGGGGGAGTAGGGGGAAGAGAAGGAGTGGGAGGAGGAAGAGGAGGGGAGGGAGATAATTTAAAATGGAAGCTAATAAAATGTGAATGTCTGCCCTACACACCAAGAAGTAGGACGTCTATTTTAGGAATTATTCAGTGAACGCTTCTAACGCTCGTTAGAAGGGTTACAGAAGGGGCAGGAGACAAAGATAATTACGATTTCCACGACCACAGCAGATTTACCATTTGCCCGACTGTCCCAAAAATAATTGCTAAACCTCCAAGTTCGGAAAACAGAGAGTGGTGTGGCGAGGATTTCGCGGAAGCGAATTTAACTAAAAACTAAAACTATTTTTATTTTACCAGGTAAGGCTCACTGAGCTGCTATGATAGCGGCCTGGCTATCACAAATGACAGCTGAACAAAGTGGCTTATCGCATGAACATTTAACAGCAGCCAAATACTCTGAGCGCACGATGTGGATTCTGAATGTGCAGGGAAAAACCGGAGGAACCCAGAGAAAAATCCACGCGACCACGGGAAGGATATGCAAACACACGAGCGTGCGCGTTTTGTGTAAACGCCCGCGCAAGGGAAAAAAACACACGAGCGGGAGCCTCCGGTGAAGACGTCTCCCTCTGGTTGTACACAGCGGCTCCACTGAAGCACCCTCCTTCTCATCCTCGCTGTGAGGCGCACTCCGCAATGCTCAAATTACGTGCCCCGTCGTGATGAATTTACCTACTCAGGGCGGTGGAGCCTCTATCGCTCACCACTATAAATGAAAGGAGCTAATTAATTGGCCGGGTAATGGATTGACGGGCACTTTATGAAAACGTTTAGAACATTCTCCATAGTTCAGGTGCGCATATTTAGTGGTTCATTACTGTTTGGGTTTTCATCTGCACGGACCACCTAATGGAACGGGGCAGCTGTGTGAGCCGAGGTCACAATTCGGGGGGGGGGGCCCGTTAAAGTGGGTGGGGGGACGTCACTCCGCAAATGCTCGTGGGGCTGTGAAGTCTCGTGGCGACGCGAGGAGGCACACGCATGACGCGTGCACGCTACACGCACACGTGACATGCGCACATGACACGGACATAACCTTTTCACATTCCAATGATGAACGTCGTTTTTTTTAAATGCCAAAATAAAATAGCTTTATCGGTACCGAGGCTCCCACAAAGCCACGTGGCACAATTTAGCGCCAGCTATCGTAGAGTGCGGTCGTGTCGCTACGGTTCTCTACGGTGAGTATAACGTCTTTAAAAACAGTGGCGCTACTACGCCTCGAAATAAAAATTCACGCCGTGCCGCTTGCGGGTACCGAGATGCAGCGGTGAACGGGACACCACCCACCCTGGAACTTGCAGAAGTCGTCTCGGAATGGGAAAGGGTTAAGAGATGCAGTTCCAAGCACGCTAAGAGGAGGATGTGCACGCACGCCTCTTGAGATGCAGTCTCGGTGAGATGCACGACAGGAACGCGTGGATCGGCGAAACAAACACAAATTGGAGAGATCGCATTGGCGACAGAGAAGACCAGTAAATGAGCTCGGGCAGAACACATCGCCGGGAGGGACGATGGCCGACGGGCAAGACTGGTGCCGGAATGAAAGCCAGACAGAGGGAGAGAGAGCGTCTCAGGAGGATGACAAGTGCAGAGATGCAGCGATAAAATACATTCACGTGTCGGAGTGCGATGGACGGTAGCGGCACTGGACCGTGAGAGGTTGTGATGGCGTGCGCAGGCCTTCATCCAGCAGCGGATAGACAACGGCTGACGATTAATCCCAAATGTACCATGGTTACGTACGTACGTACATGTGTGCGCGACATTTACCCACGTTACTACAAAGTCGACCCGGGACGGTCCCGAGCCCATTATGGATTTGCGAACGTCCGCTTTGATTATCCCTAACGAGCCTCGGCACTGACAAGGGTCGGAAGCGCTTCGATTGAATTGGGGAGTGCTCCTGTATGCGATGAGCACAACCCCCCCCCCCCCCCAGGCCCGCCCCACGCCCGCACCTGGAGCAGTGGGGGGCTTCAAAGCGGCCCATGAGTGGGCCCCGCTCTGACAATCAAAGTCGCTTGTGAGCACTGCAAGGGTGCCGGCGGATAATTTCCATCGCATCAAATGGTGGATGGAGCGGAGTGGACTGAGCGGAGTGGACTGAGCGGAATGGATCCAGTGAAGCGACCGAGTGGAGCGAACCGAGCGGATCGAGCAGAACGGATCCAGCGGAGCGGACCGAGCAGAGTGGATTGAGGGGAACAGATCCAGCAAAGCGGACTAAGCGGAGCGGACCGAGCAAAGCGGATCGAGCGGATCGAGCGGAGCGGAGCAAACGAATCGGATCGAGTGAAGTGAACCAAGCAGAGCAGATCGAGCGGAGCCGACTGAGCGGAGCGAACGGAGATGATCGGATAATTTATTATTAGTTAAATCCTGCTGCTGTTGTTGTTGGTGCTGCTGTGCTTGTAATAATTTAAGCATTCATTAAACTTGATTCTTATGATTACCGTGCATGCAGTGAAAAAAAATGGCTCTTGAAACTGGGTGTAAAAAAAATGTAAACGGTAGTGGGGCAGCCCTGCAATTGCCCGCTCACGCAACTGCAGGCGGAAGGCATTCGCACCTCGCGGGAGCACTGCCGAGCCCCCCTCAAGGGCGAGTTGCTGCACATTTGCACGCTCAACACGCGTCTTAGAATAGGCGAGAGTACCCACACTTTACCCCACCACACACAAACCGTTGTTGTATCCATTTATACCGGTGATTGCGTGGAGGCGGGGAGGTGGAAGGGGGGCAGGGGGGAGCAGGCGGAGGAGATTTAAGAAACGCGACAGGAGCTGGGCTTGAACTGTGGATTCCAATGCGCTAACCATTACACCACGAATGTAATCGTTACGGGATTATTATTATGATTACCACGATAACCGCGCGTATTAAGATATGCTTTTGCGGCCATCTAGAATGCTCTTCTTTCTCATATTAAGAAGCCACTGGAGCTCTGCACTATTACATCAAAATTGAAAACTAATTTCTTTAGAACTGCTTCTGTTTTGATTTAAAGCTTTCGTGACTGCAGGGATTCATATTCTTGGTTCTTTCGGTAAAGTCAAGTAGAAGGGAAAAATAAAATAATAAAAATATAAAACAATAAAATTCTCACGACGTTTCGACTGATGATGATTGCTTGTGTTGCAGTCGAAACATCGTGAGAATTTTATTGTTTTATATTTTTATTATTTTATTGTTTCCCTTCTACGTGAGTCTAACTGCTTTTGTGCTTAGTTTGTTGTCCTCCCCTGGAACCTCCGATGAGCATGTTTGGCTACGTACGGTGCGCAAGAGGTTCGACGTGCATACGTACATATAAGACCATACGTACAACATACATACGCTAACAACCACTGACCGTGGGCGGCGCGGGGGATTTGGTCGACTCCTTGCGGCTGGTCAGGATGACCTCGCCGGAGCGGCCAGTCGTCAGGCCGAACGAGAAACTCTGGGGCCCGCGGGGGGGCGGGGTAGGGGGGTCCCCCTCCTCCTCCTGCCCGTCCGCGGTCGCCGAGGGAGACCCGGAGCTCGTGGCCTCTGGCGCTACGGAGGGGCTGGGGGCGGTCGGCGCCGCAGACGGCGGTGGGGGCCGGGGCGGCGCGCCGGGCGACTCCGGGGGCGAAGTCACCACCGCGTCGTCCGTAGCTGGAGGCCCGGCGCCTGTACAGGGAGGGCAACAGCACGACGCTCGTCTGGGTTTCATCATGGGATGGACGGCCGTGTTGTTTTTTATTCCGATCCACGGTGTACTCCGCTGGGCGGCTGGGGCGGCACCCCCGTGCGCTGAGGACTACGGCCCAAGGAGGGTGATATCGCGAAACTGCTTTTGAGATCCCTTCAAGCGACCGCTCGCACTCAGCAGGGGCAGCGGTGAATTTTACCGCATGTCCCTGCTGCACAAAAAAAAATGTCATTCTACAGGCAAATCAATATTTTGTACTCTCAAGAGTTAGAACCATTTACCCCGACGAAGGAGAAAAGGTAAGTTAATGCATTGAATGTTTTGTGCAGTCGTTGGTGGCCAACTCACGACGCTTGAGAGCCCATCTACATTGGAACCTAAAGTGGATTACGATGCCACGCTTCACAGCTCATTTCATCGTCACAGCCGGACCCGCTCACCTGGCCGACCCCCGACCTCCGGGGCCGTGCCACGGGCCCTTGCGGGCGGAGCCGCTTGCGCCTCGGATACGGCCGACGCCGCCACCGGCTCCTCCGGGGCCGCCTCCTCACGAGCGTGCGCCGGGGCCACAGCTCCCGCCGGCGCTGCTGGCCCCTCCCTCGCCTGAGCCTGCAAAGGCCCCGTGCCAAGGCCTTCCCGAGGACGAGCCTGCTGCTGCTGCTGCTTTTGCTGCTGCTGCTTTTGCTGCTGCTGCTGCCCGTCGTCCCCCTGCTGGTCCCATGGGGCTGGCGGCGCCCGCCCATCGCCCACGGGGGACATCAGAGCCATGGTGTTCTCGGCCTCGTTGAGGACGCGGTTGAAGTCACGCTCGCTGAAGTGGCTCCGGCTGGCTCGTCGCTCCTCCAGCTCACGCTCCAGCTCCTGCAGCAGGCGCACGCGATGCCGTTGGTAATCAGCAGGTTTGCGCGTGGTTAGTAACTAAACTTAAACGAGATTGTTCATTTTATGTTTTACCAGCTAAGGCCTACTGAGCTGTTTAACTTATTTTTCAGAAGCGACCTGGCCAAAAATGGCAGCTCAATGAAGTGCCTTATCACGTGAGAAATGTTTAGCAGCTAAATACTCTCAACGACTTTGCATTCCCTCCTTAAAAGGAGGTCAATTGACAAATGACTAAACTTAATTTCAGGTGGAGCTGCCCATGAACCCCCTCTTGTGGGACTGGGGGCCCTGGAAAATATCCCATCGCAAACGGGTCACGAGGCAGAGAGTTTTGTTAGGACCCCATCCCTCCTCCAGAGTCCAGATTTACCCTTGCCCACCAAAGAAACGCGGAATTTCCACAGCGAGCGCGAGATTGGCCGCCGCTTAAAGCGAAAACGAGCAGCACCGCCACTCTCACACGTCACGGAACGCCCGGGGACGCACGTCGAGAGTAACGCTCCTGTTGACAATCTCCAAGGTGGCGGTGGACGTGGCGGTGGCCGTGGCAGCCGTGGTGGCGACGGCGGCGCCGCTGCTGATGACGTGCGCGGCGCCGCCGTCGCGGTGCTGCTTGGGGGTGGGCGGGAGAGGCGGGGGGGGGCCCTCCCGGGGGGGGCCCTCCCTGTGCTGGGCCCCCCGCGACCTCGGCGCCGCCTCCAAGTGCTGCTTGGCAGCCGAGCGGCCCCGTCCGTCGGGCCGATCCCCGCCATGAGGTGGCATCGTGCGTGGCTCCTCCTGCTGCTCCTCCTGCTGCTGCTGCTGCTGCTGCTGCTGCTGTTGCCGGGACGACTTGACCCCGCGAGTTACACGGCTCACAGGATGCCCCTACACGGCAACCACCACCACCGCCATCGCCACCGTCATCCAGCAACGCCACGTTAATCAACAGCCAATCAAATCCGAGCCGGATCCGACAAGACACGACGTATTTGTATTTATTAACGGCACCAGCATTCTACACAGCAGCGTCATAATCACCATCATCACCACCACAACCACCACCACCACCACCACAATACTGACCATGGGCAAGAGAGATGTAACCACCTCCTCACCTCCTTGCTTGCACCACCGGGTGCGGCCGATGTCACCTCTTGGTTCCGACTGCCCGGGGAAGCCATGGCGAGGGTGACGGTGGTGGCGGTGACGGCGGTGGCCACGGCGCTGGTGGCGGCAGCGGTTCCTGCAGCGGGGTTCCGGCCCTCTTCGGCCGCCGGTTTGTGGTGACGCGGCACGGCCCGGGGCTGCGGGGACGCGGCGTCGCCCGGCGGCTCCGTGGCGTCCGGCCCACCCTCAGCCGGCACCGGCTCTCGCTCCCAGCGAGGCAGCTCCAGCGAAGAAACAGGGACGCCCTCTGCTACCGCCCTGCCGAGGTAATGACGCGCGAAGCGGCGACGCTCAGAATGCACGCGGCACGCAGGGGCGCGCGTGATGCCACACGCGGCACACGGCACATGCAGTCCGCACGGTGTCGACGTGAGCGATTGCCGATCGCGGTGATGTCACCGCGTAAGGTTTCCACAGTTGCTTGGCAACGGCTCTCCGGCGTGTTTTCGGGTCATACCGCACGATGTCCGAAGTTTCACTTCACGTGATCGGAGCTTCGTCAGGAACCGAATTTAGTTCTTGGAACGGAAAGACGCGCGGTACAATCTAGAGGCACGCCAAAGAAACGGCAGTGATGTGGATGAAAATGCTTGGAGTGCGGGAGAGCGAGTGATAAAGCGACTATTTGCGATGGCAGGGACGGCGATGATAAATATGGGGGTCCTGTAGTTTTTAATAACCGGTTGCGTAATTGTAAGTGTCAGGCAGATGTAATAATCTCAACTACCGCTAAACGTTCACAGCAATGACAATAACGATGAGGGATAGCGGTGAATGGCAGTGATGATAACCGTGATGAAACTTAATTTGCGAAGACAAAGATGATCAAATCAACAAGCACAACATCCATGAAAATAATCATCAGCGTGCCACAACCATTTCCTATGTTTGTTTTTATGAGCAGCCCAAAGACGCACACGGACAGACTAAATACAGAATTACTCGACTCTTAATTGGGCGCGAGGAGGCCGAGTCGAAGTGGCAGATGGACAGACGGACAGATGAACAGACAAATGGATAGACCAACGGACAGATGAACGGACAAATGAATGGAGAGATGAACCAACAGATGAACCGACAGATGAACCAAGAGATGAATGAACAGAAAAAATGGACAGATTGACAGACAGAGAGATGAGCGGACAGATGAATGGACAGACGAACAGACAGACAGATGGATCTGCATTCTGCCCAGCTACAGTCACACCACGAGTGGAAAGAGACTCTCCTCTTCTCTCCATCTACGATGCGAACCTGCGCAGGAGGCCGATGGCTTCGTTGATGACGTGACACCTCCTGTGCAGCCCCTCCAACTGGTGAGGTTCGTCGTTGAGAAACTTCACGGCTTCCACCTCGGCTCTCAGGAGGCTCCGCAGATGCATCTGGAGCACGGAGAATTGGGCTGCTCACACACGCACACACGCACACGCACGCACACACGCACGCACACACAAACAGAAGGTACGTGTGTGGCCTTTAAGAGTCGGTTGGGGCTAGTGGTAAGTCCGACATGGCACACGATGCGGCGGTGTGACCAGTGCCATGTCCTACAGCCTTTGTCTCCCCACTGTCGATGTCAATACATTGAGTGATACTTTAATGCTGAGTTGACCTGAGTTGACCTAGAGGAAGCCCAAGACTGAATCAGATATCAGTCACTTTTAGCCATGGCCGGGAATCGCTGGGTTCATGGTACAGCATGTGAATCACCATGTGTACATCCGTTTGTTGTTGTGTGTGTGGTGAGTACATCTGCACGTTTGTACGTATGTCTGTGTTCACGAATTAGGCCTGTGTTAGCATACATCCGCATGCATGTTGAATTTTTTTGCGCATGTGCGCGTGTGTCCGCGTGCGTATCCGAGTGCGTGCATCTGCGTATGTCTCTGTATCTGCGTGCGTATCTGCGCGCGTGCACGTGTGCATCCCCCGCGGACCTTGCAGCTCGGAGACGCCCTCCCCGACGTGTCGGAGCGCCCCGACGCTCTCGTCCAGCGCGGCGAGCGCCGCTCGGCCGCCGTCCCCGCCGCCGGTGCTGGAGAGCTCCCGCTGCAGCTGCTGCACGCCGCCCTCCAGCTCGCTGGGACACGGGGCGCAAGCGACACGCAAAGGCAAAGGTCCCCCGCGTTGCCTACACAGACTCTTTAGGGCGGGCGCTGTCAGCGAGCAACTATAAATGCTGGCGCCACGCACGACGGGGCGGTGTTGGCATCGGCACCACGCCCGGCCGCCTTTGTCTCCCCAGTGCTGATGTTTGCGCACTGCACCGTCGAGGACTCATTTAAGGCCGAGTCAACTTGGGGCGCACCCGGGACCGGGAAGGGGGGGGGGGAGATGTGGTGGGGGGCGGCGGGCGGCAGGACTGCTTCAGACGAAGCAAGCAAACATCTGCAGAGAACTAGTGCATGCACCACCACGTTGAGCCACTGCTCTATGCAGCATAGCATTGGAGTGCATGCCAGTGTGTGTGTCTCATAGAGGGGAGCGGTAGTGTAGCGGTGAGCGCTGCTGCGCTACGAACCTGGTGACCCGAGTTCAATTAGTACCTGGCGCCGTGTGCTGGCCGTGCCGGCCTCCGTCGGTGCTCGCTAACAGCATTGCCCGAGCAGTCAGTTAAAGGCTATACGGGGGACCTTTGTCTTATGTACGAAGATGTATGCGATTACAAATAAGCGCGCGTGCATGCGCCCATATGTCAACACTCAATCTACGTCGCGTTCACTCGTGATCTGCGCTCGCTCGCGAGAGAGAGAGAGAGGCAGCATCTGTTTGACCATGAGGCATATGCGTCGTTACACAGCTGCACTTCATCACGAGCTGGACACGAGATGTAAATTAGTTCCGCGGCGGTTCTGGTAATGAGAAATTAAAATGTTTGCCACAGCGAATCAAGTTCCTTACATTTACAAATAACCTCAGAAACAAAAAAAACGTCATCAACAATGCAACACATTTTCCAAGAACACTGTGGCCCGGAAGCGACGCTCGGTCGATTCGTCAATTCAGTCGCTTGTCCTCGCAGACTACGCGCAACGAAAATCCGTGGTGGAGTTAAGATAAACGTCATTCCCTGACGAAGCGTGATGCTCGGGAAAGGTATTCTCCTTCGGTGTGATCTGTACTATATTCATCATCATCATCATCGACCACGGTCAATCCACTGCTGGACAGAGGCCTCCTCAAGCAGCCGCTACCAACTCATGGCGCCGCGATGCTTCAACGCACGTAGCGGCCGTGCGCGAGCAGATTTCATCGCTCCATCTCCTCCGTGGACGTTTTCCAACGACGGCCAATTCCCCCCCCTCCCCCCCCCACCCCACCGCTCCCTTCGCTGGCGTTCACACAAATGCAATTATCAAATGGTACTGTGCACAATTACGCACGGGGCAGGTCAGCGCAGCGCCCGCGCGGCATTTCAAAAGTTCCAAGAGTGGCTTTGCGACCAATTAGGCGGAGGCCGGTAGTAAAAACTGTTCCTGTCAAGTGACGTCCATCGTAAGGGATGGCGAGGATGGAATCCCTGCGCTGGGATGCGTGCTTCTCTACCCTCCCTCTCTCCCCCTCGCCCTCACGCCCCCTCACCCTCCCGCTTCGTATGTCTGCTTGCACTTCACGGTGTGACGACATCAAGCCAATACTGCCGAAGGAAAATCGTTCCCAGAAGGCCGTGGTGGCTGATGGGATGTGTACAGGAGGCGAAACTGTCCGCTTAATTACTTTGTTAATTACAGTCTCCAGAATGGTGCTAATGGTTACTTTGCGGTTGGTCCATCTCATCTGAATGTCTGTGTATTGCTGCCCATGGCCGCCTCTCACTCCGTCCGTGCGTTTGTCTGTCTGTGTGTCTGCGTGTTTGTTTCTATGTCCGTGACCCCCCCCTTCGCCGGCTGACAGCGGGACAGACGAGGGGAGGGGGGGGGCACGCAGCGATGGGGCACCGCACCTGAGCTGGCGCTGCACGGCGTGCTGGCGCCCCACAAAGTGGCCGCGGCTCTCCTCCAGCTGCTGCCGCTGGAGCCGGGCCTGGGCGCCGTCGCCGTGGTCCGCGGCCGAGCGCCGGGCAGCCTCGGTGGCGCGGCCCAGGACCTGGCGCGCCGTCGCCAGGCTCACGGTCTGCCACGCCAGCTTGTGGCTCATCTGGTGGGAACGCGGCATGCACACATATCAAAGATCTACCCCCCTACCCACCGTGTAGCCTGAACAGACTGTTGGGGCCCACGTGGTGTCAGCGAGCAGTGTCTATTAAGGGGTGGCACAGGGCACTACACCGGGTACGGATTTAAGGCTGGGTCTGCCTAGGGAAGGACCAGAACTAGTTCTGACATTACTTTTGACATGATTTCAGGGTAAGTGCACCAACCGCTCCCCAAACACACGTGTACATATGCACAAATTATCCCCCCGTACAGCCTTAATAGACTGTTGGGGCAAGTGCTGTTAGCGAGCAGCACCTGTGCCACACGAGGGGGTGGGTGGCCAGCACCACGCCCAACCGCCTTTGTCTCCCAAGTGGCGATGTTTACTACACACCGCACCAGGTACTCATTTGAGGCCGAATCACACGCACGCGTTACACGCACGCACGCACAGGCATGCCGAGCGCGAGCGCCGCGAGGCTGCAGGCGACACACTCTTCCAATGCAGCGATGCGCGGCGCAGCCAAGCGGAGTGGAGGTGGAATTGGTTTTGTTAGTGCTCGTCGGCCTCATTTGGTCCGAGAGATTCGATTGTGATGGAACTGCGTCTGATGGGGGACCTGCTTGTAGAGTTAAAAACTGGGAACCCCCCTCACCCCCCCAACTCCATCGCCCCAGACGCATGGACAACTTGCTTGGACAATCCGAGGTTTTATCTTTTTAAATACAAAAATGCCTATTGCACACAAATATAACAAAGATCCCCCCCCCCCCCCCACCTAGCCATATAGCCTTAACAGACTGTTGGAGCAAGTGCTGTTAGTGAGCACCTATGAAGGCCGGCACGGTACAGGAGGGGGTGGGTGGCCAAAACCACGCCCGGCCGCCTTTGTCTCCCTCGTGGCGATGGATACACATCGCCCAAAGTACTGTACTCATTTTAGGCTGAGTCGACCTCGGGGAAGCCCAGGACTGACAAGAAGGGACGGACACGCACACACGGACAAAGATGCACACACACACCCTTTAAAACGAGGGGTGGAGTGAGCCCCTTCCTGACAATGAGTGTTCCCGGTACAGTGCTGCATTCAACATGGGCCTACATTTGAGAAAATTATCCAAACATATACTCAGTTGGAATTAATGTGTACAGGAGAGCACTGTACGCAGCCATCATCATCCCCTCCTGCCGCAAACACCCTTCTGAAAAAAGAGTCACAGGAATTGGCAATACTTTGCTGGATATAAGCGTTGCTATAGCAATAAGAATTCTGGTCCGTTAACCCATTAGATTGTTTTAACATTGTCGTGAATGTAGCGGCCACCAGCGGTTGCAGGGGTCATGTGAACGCATCACGCGCTACACGTGTGAATCTGCATGCATCGATTTTTCCCCACACGCAATTAAAACGCGCGTAGCGCAGGCTTCGAAATCGCTATCAATTGATCAATCTATGCATAATTACACCTCTACCTGAAACCCATTTACAAGCGCACTCCCACGTTGCCATACACAGCCAGATGAGAATTACCATGTGTGCTTATACACGCACGAGCATCTGGTGGAGGACCTGAAAGAGCATTAGCTGCTCAAGTCCTCCGAAGCAACCTCATTTTATCCCTTGTGATGCTATCAAAGTGTTCACTTATTACATCCAGGCTCTTTAAAACGACTCAACGTTACAGATGATGTGGGATATAGCTTAGCTGAATGGCCGAATGAACGAACAAAAATACCCTAGTTTTATTTTGTGGACGCAAATAAACGTTCTCCAATTGTAGAAAAATCTAACTCTAAAAGGCCTCCGCAGACAGCCAGGCGTTTATGCTTGGGGGTTAGGAACGTCCCGAAAGAGTTAAACGTTTGAAGCAGTGATGCGGCGAATGCAGGGGAAGGATTTTTCCGATCGAGGCACCCAGCATCAGGCTCTCCGCCGTGACGTGCCGTGCCGTGCCAGGCGGCATGGCTCAGCTGCCGCTCGGGGTCCATGCGAAGAAACAAGCCGCCCGAGCCAGTGACAGCAAATTGGGCACGGAAACTGGAATGTCATAACCTAACTGCAAAGATGAAGGGTAACTGTCAACTCCCCCGAAATTGATTTGCTTTAGAGTTCATAAATGTTTTTTGCTGTGGGTTTACACAAGCTCTTGACACAAGGCAAGGTCCCTCTCTTGCAAGCGTGACAGGAGGAAAGAGCTCCTTCTTCAAGGGCTTGCCAAGTTCTGAGTAAATTATTTGCTTGAAAGCCACGTGACTAAAGCTTCGGGAGCAGCGCGACTTAACGCCGCCCGGTCCACCGGGGAGCGGGCCCAGTAGGACGACGATGCCGTTTGTTCATGATGTGGTCCATCGTTTGGTTCGGGTGGCCGTTGGTCACCGCACCGCGAGTCTTCGTCGTCCTTAATGTCCCACTCATGGAAGAGGTTTCGCGTAGCGACCGATCGTTGTTCTGAAGTGGTTGACAGAGCCGCTGCAGTGGGTGGAACCAGTCGATTTGGAGTGTTGTTGGGCTTCTCTAGTTGATTAGTTTATTATGTTCAATGCATTTCGATGGCCAGACAGTTTTTTCAAATTTAACTATAGCGACATCCAGTGATTTTCCGAGGTTTGTTTTTGGCAAATTTTTCTCTTTCAGGAGTCGGTGGCCAAGACTGCGCCGTGCTGGAATTTCAATTCAGCGTGGTCCGAATGACCTCGGAGAGGTCCGTCTCGCACCCCCTCACTCGCTACGTGCCGGCACGCGCTCAGCCGGGAGAGTGCCACACGCGAGCATCACGAACATCCCGCCGTCACCAAAACACACATTCCCATCATCCCGAGTTCAGCAGCGCGCAGTGGCCCAGACTTTCTGCATCACCCCAGGGAAGCGGGGGGGGGCAGTGTCCTTCTTAACGAATGTGTCACGAGGCCTACTGACGGTTTGGGTTCTCCCAGCAAAGATACGTTGGTCTAAAGTGACAAACTTAGTGACTGACGCAGATTCAAGAGCAAATCCAGGGATGCTTAAGAGATACAGGACCAATACTCGGTCAATTGTAGTGACATTTTGACGACTTTATGCAGTCTATGTCGGCAACATTTCGTGACATTTTTGAAGCGCGCATGGCGACTTCCTGCTCGAAGGAGTTGCCCGTATCGCTAGCCGTGGACTTTCGCAGGCAATAGTGGAGGGAGGGGGGGGGGGCTGAGATGGGGGGAGACGGTGCGTGGTGGTAGCGAAGGGCACTGTGAGCTGGCAAACCACGCGACGTGGAATGACTACGGGGGGGTCGTGTCTCACAATGCGGCCGCACTTGACACGCGTGCACACAGCTCCATCACCGTCACCCACAATACCACGGGGGTGGGGGGGTGGGGTACTGGCATCAATAATTAAAAGCGAGGAGAAATGGGGAGAAGGAGGGGTGAGAGGTCAGGACGAGAGCTATGCGGCGGTGGCGGTTGGTGGGGGGTGGGGTTAATGAGTGATGAGCTGCATTGTAAAAAGGCGCCAAAGTGGCCCGCAATGCCTGCCGGAGATCAGACTCCACTACCTCCCTCCGCGGGCAGGTGGGCGGGCGGGTGGTGGACCCGTCCGGTCACTATAGACATTCTATAGACGTTCGTTTGGTGTGAACCGTGCATGGGAGGGGGGGGGTGCAGTTAGAGAGACCTCCGATCAGGAGGGGCAGCATCTCCCCTCACGGCGGGTGGCTGGGTAGAGACGACAGTCGTCAGCGTGTTTGCCTCCAAACCAAAATTTGCATGCAAGACGAAGGTTCGCTTGCCCCACAGGCGCCCAGGAATGTCGCTGCATGACCCGAGCATGGCATGGGGGTCTTCTTGCGAAGTGAGCGTCAGTCACCGCGTGCCCTCGTTGCGAAGAGCAGCCGATTGTGTCTGAACCTCAAGTGTTTGAAATTAAACCGTTCAATCAGTAAAGGGAACGTTCATATTTGTTCATATTACTGTATCACGAATGTGACATCTCAATGCTGCACTGCTGGGTTTATGCTCTCCTGCTGCTTGTGCGCACAAAGCCTTGGGGCCTGGCGTGAAGACTACGCGAACCCCGCGGACCCTGGGCTCCCAAGCTGCCTCCTCTCTGCCAGCTCTGGCACTGCCTCAGACGATGCTCGACGACGTGAGATGAAGTCAAACGAGGTGGAAAGTGACGTGGAGGGACCAAAGAGGGCCACACGGCAGCGGAGCCTGAGGCCTACGTTGGGTTAAGCCGAAGGCTCAATCCCACTTCAAGAGAAAGCACGGTGATTGATCACAACAGAGAAGTGTCTGCCAACTCCTTAACACAGAAAGTCCTAAAAACGAACATCAAAACGTCTATCCAGCACACAAGGAACATTGGGCCGTCGTTTGTCCAACGGGTTTCAACTGCATGCCAACGTTGGGCCAACGTCGAAATATTTACTGTGGTCTAAAATGTCACGAGACAATTCACCACTGATTACCCGTTGTGGCAAATATGTGTCAGTGTCCTCGATACACGCTTATATCCGCATCATGTTCTGTTCAAAGAAAGTTGATAGATATCGCCCTGTCGCTTTGACAAATTCACGTCGCCAAGGAAACCCGAAAACGTAGCGCGAGAACCTTGGGACAAAATTGGCTCATTTGGCAACGCTTGCATGATCCGTAGCAACAGATGCCTCTGGCGTCAGTGGCCCGGAATAATTACAGATGCAGAACTCTGTGTGCTCCAAGTGCGAAAAAATGTGCACCTGTACATGTTAAACTGCACGTGTAATTGCTTCGTTAAAAAAACGAGGAACAACCCACGCTGTGCGGCCATCTCAACGTGTGTGTTTGAGAGTGCGTCCGTGTGTATGTTGATTATGCAAATTACCAAGAATACTATTGTACCGGTTAAAGTGCACTAGAATCAAAATGATCATTTTCCTTGCCAAGAGCAAATGTGTACGGCTGTGAATTCCAGTGCAATCAAGTGGAGGTGGAGGCTGTAATTTCCCTCTAAAGACGAGCGAGTGTGCGGACCGTGAAATAAATTGCGTTAAAAAACTAAGAAAAAAGAGCCTCAACTAAAATCTCCAATGGCATTGTTTGACTTTTAATTAAGTGTTAAAAATGCAGGCCAAGACCACTTATATTAACTGCCCCCACTCCACTCTACCCTCCCTCTCTCTCCCCTCCCTTACTCCACACCTCCAGACCGTCTTGCCAGAACACCTGTTCCCTGCAGGGCATGCTTGGCAGAATCGCACATTCATGCCCAGACACATACACACAAGGATCCCAGACGTCACCTTGAACAAACTGTTCGGAGCTAGGACAGTTGGCGAGAATCTATTTAGGAGACGGTGACGTGGCCAGCACCATGCCCCGGCCGCATTTTTCCCCAGTGCTCATTGTTTACACGTAACATCAGGTTAGTTCAATTGAAGGCTAATTCGACGTACGGGAGACCCAGGACCCGTTCTGGTATCATACACCACTGATGTTAGCTACGGTGGGTTCGTGGCACAGGGCACGAACCACAGCACGATGTTAAATAACAATTATTTAGATTTAATTTCTCTCAATTACAATGGGGAAAACATCCTCAGTAATTGTCCATTTTTGCTCAGCATTGCGTGGTCAATAGCTTGGCTTTCTGGGAAATAATTTCATGACAAAATTATTTAATAACAAATCACACGTAACAACAACAACAATATTAAACGCATTCTTTGTTTTTTTTCGGTAAAGTCACATAGAAATAATAAAGTAACATAATAGTGTACGACGTTTCGATTGCAACACAAGCAATCATCATCAGGTAGAGAAGAGCTAAATTTACGAGAGAGAGGAGACACATAACCGCAGATATAGATATATATACAGACACAGATACAACAGGGGATACAGGGAGAGAGAAACGTGGGAGCACACTAAATCAAACAGGTTTTAGCAAGATTTGGAAACCATATAACCCCCCGCCAAGCAACACCCACCTCCAGCGGGGGTGGGAGCCACACTTTGTGTGCGGTTATGTGTCTCCTCTCTCTCGTAAATTTAGCTCGTCTGTACCTGATGATGATTGCTTGTGTTGCAATCGAAACGTCGTACACTATTATGTTATTTTATTATTTCTACGTGACTTTACCGAAAAAAAACAAAGGATAATTCCTGCAGTCACGAAAGCTCCAAATTCAAGTTTCAATATTAAACGCATCCAGCTATGTTTTGCACGTCAGGACAGCTACAGTTTGAGCAAAGAAATGCACCAATTAACTCATAACAATTAAGGGTTCTTGGAATCTATCTTGGAATCAATTTTGGAAGACAAAGTAGTTTTTTTTTCAAGGCTAGAGGCAGAATATACAGTGGGGTTTTTTTGGGGTTCAGAGTCAAGCGCAAGAGAGAGAGAGAGAGTCAGTGGGGGTGGGAGCCACACTTTGTGTTTCCTGTTGGGGACTCTACAGGAGCAAGCTGCACCTCTGTGGCATTTGGAGAAAATGCCAGCGCGTGCCAGCGACCGATGCCAGCGTGCGGTGGTGACTGGCGTCGGCATCTGGCAGGGTGAGCGGTACCAGAACCCCGTCGTTCTCACCGCGGTTGAACAAATAAAACTCGACTCGACCCGGTGGCAGCTCACGTTGCGAGCGTGTGGTGGTGTGCACGCGGCCAGCGGTGTGCCACGGTGTGCTGCAGTGCGCTGCCGGCACTCGGCTGTTTTCGGCTTTGGCAGGTGGGTGTTGCTTGGCGGGGACTGGTATTGGCGCACGGAAAGGCACCGGTTCGGCTACACGTGTGACGGTGAGTGGTGGTTCCCCTTGGGAGAAGTCTGGGGGCCGCGGTGCTGAAGAGTGCGAGTGGAATGAGAAAAACAAAGCAGCGTGGAGAGGTGCTTGCTCACAATCACACAGAGAGAGAGAGAGGGGGGACGTGGAGATTACCAAACACGCAGGTAAACGACACCATTCCCACTAATAGTGAGTGGGGATTGGGTGAGACAGTAGCCATCAATCAAAGACGGTGGTCACCACATTTCGCGCTTTCAGATGCGGTTCTGTGGCCGTCTGGAACACTCTTCCTTCTGACATTAGGAAGCCCCTGGAGCTATGCATTTTCAAATCATCATCTCGATTTAGAACTCATTCCTTTAGAACTGCTTTCTGTGTTTAGTTTCTTGTCCTTCACTTGCACCTGCAACGAGCACTGTTGGCTACGTACGGTGCGAAAGAAGTTCAACGTACGTACACAGGTGGCCAAAAAGGAAGATGGCCGACGGTCAAGAATAATGACGGGGTGGCGTTCAAGAGTACGTCCCGTGAAGGGAGATGGAGCACCTCGCGCGCGGGCGGGTAGGTGTTTGGCAGATTTTTGTGCCAGAGCAACCGTGAGAGATGGTGGAATCTTGCGGAGGCCTTCATCCAGCGGTTGATTCGACCAAGGCTCATGAGTAACCTCCTTCTGAACCTGGGTCGGGCCCGGAGAGAGCGGCTACGCCACGCAACAGCGCATGGCGTCGCCGTGTGGCAGCGTAGGCATGTCGTCAACGCGGCGGTCACCTGCATGTGTCTCAGCTGATTGACGTCCGTGCGGAGCTGTCCCACCGTCTCCTTGAGTCGCCACGCCACCGACCGCAAGGAATCCGGGTCCCGGTCACCCTCTGCAAAGGTGAGAGATGGAGAACTGAGTGGAAGAGATAGAGACAGAGTGATGCACGCCGATAGGAATTTACCAAAACCTCACGCATCCCAGCGATCTCAGCAGCCGTTTCGTCCATCTTATGGACAACATCTTTAAAGCTGAGATTTTACCCAAAACGTCTTTTCCATGTTTACGAGGTAAAGTATAAAATGTGGACGAATCTCTTTCAAGTCTGGGTTGCTTCAGTTTTATGGAATGCCAGTGTGTCTGTGCAATGACCTCTCACCTTGTAAAATCGAGGTCACTGAACGGCTGAATGGCTGGCAGGCTGACTGGCTTACAGATTGACTGATTTTCTAGCTAGCTGGTTGAATGATGTCAGACTGACTTAGCTCACTGACTGTCCGACTTCTGGCTGGCTGGTTGACAGGCTCACAGTTTCTATCCTGTTCTTGCACACGATGGCAATATCTTCAGGAGCTTGTGTAGTTCTGCAACATTTAGGTTGAGAGAATTTCAAAATGTAGTTTGTGCATTCACAGACCTCGTCTGATCAGTTCCTGGTGATTATTTGCAGCATTTAGCTCTCCCGATCATATCTGTATACAAATTAACAGCGTCCATGTCACCTTTATAGGATGGTATTAGTTGTGTTTAAGGTGACATAAAAGAACATGAAAAACGTAACAAGTGGGCCCGCAAGAAGGCTCACCACCTTGTGAGCCAGCGAGGGCAGGCCATGCCACCGCATTGGGGACACCTGCTCACAATAACAATGACGATAGAGAGACAGACGCCTGCGATCCTCTGTTGATAACCACCTACGCGAGAGGCGGAGGCTGGATAAGGCGAGTGGTGTAAAGTGAGATTAGAATGGCGGGGGGAGGCAAAAGCCTGAAGGGATCTGCCTTCCCCATCCCCTGTCCCAAGCTGCACCAGGAGCTCTCTGCCAGTGTAGAGCGATCGAACGCAGGGTGAGAGAGATTGTGAGATGGGCAGATTGGGAGATGGAGAGGCAGCTAAGATCAAAGGAGCAGAACAATGAATATTGCAGGGAAGAGAAATATTGTGGCAGATAAGGACAACGGGAAAGATTAAGAGCGGAGTTTCAAGATTCGTAGTGGGCGGCTGCCTTGGAGAGGTGGAGGGGGCCGCAGGGGAGGAGAAATAAATACAGAGAGAGGTAAGCAGGAGGAAGGAGGGAGATGGAAGGCCAAATGGCTGAGATGCAGGAAGAGAAAAGACAGAGGGAAGAATAGAGGTACAGAGGAGACATGGCCAGACACGGCTGATGGAGCGAGAAAGGATGACAGGAAATTACAGACATTAAAACGAGAGGGCAACGAATTACTTTAACGGGGAGATATGAGATCAAAAACGAGATAGCCAGAGAGATGAGGTCACAAACGGCGCCGGCGAGGGAAAGAGACTCGGAGCTGGGGAGGTCACCCCAGGTGCCCTCTGGTGACACACGGCGAGCGCCGCTTGGCGTCCCATCAAGCATATCCGGGGTAAAAAATAAAACCAAGTAATGAACCAAGTAAAGGAGCCGACGATGACGCCACGGTGCTCTCTCCTCACGGGCATCAAGGTGGGCCACGGGGAGGCAGCGAAGGGAGACGGAGGGAGACGGAGGGAGACGCGAAGGCACCGGGGGCGGCATCATGTTGGGCACATCGCCTCCACCCAGTGGCCTGAGCGACCTCGTGTTCCAAGTGCGCGCATGTGTGTGTGTGTGCTCTGTAGGGGCAAGTGCTCGCTAACAGCACTTGCCCCTACAGTCTGTTAAGGCTATATGGGGGATCTTTGTCTTGTGACTAAGTGACCCAATCAGACATTTAGTCGCGTTTCATATAAACCCACCAACTCCATCCACCTTCTCACCTCCACCTCCATCCACCCCCTCCCCTCCTCCTTTCTCCTCTTCCCCTCCATCCATCTCCTACTCTCCACCTCGCACCCTAGTCCCATTCCTCAGTAAGGAGTTTGGCGAATTAGGGGGGGGTCTATAAATGATTAAAGCCTTAAATTTCGATTTAAAGCTTTCGTGACTGCAGGGATTCATCTTCTGGGTTATTTCAGTAAAGTCACGTAGAATGGAGATAAAATATTTTTATTATTTCATCTGCATTCTACGTGACTTTACCGAAAGAACCCAGAAGATTTCAGCCTTGGCAATATTTTTTCTTGAATCATTGCGCATGGCAAAGAGCCAGGCTCTCCACCGCGGTGCCCGCATGTACGCCGCACCAGAGCTGCTGCCGTTAAGCCCCAATTCTGCTTGTTGATTAGCGCTAATTGATTTACGCATTTTAACAGAGTGCCATTTTCCCTGCCGTCGATTCAAATGCGACGGGGCACGCACACGAGCGCGCCCGCGCCCACAGCAGGCATCGACCGCGCATGTGGAATGGGATTTCATGGACTCTGCAAATTGAATGGTAATGACGATGCGATGGGGCGCGTTCCATCGCGACGCCGACGAATGTTTTGTTTATTGCAATCAAATCGACGAGCATATTACGAGAGTCTGAATCCGTTCGTAATCGACCGGCGAATCCGCCACGTCGTTACGCGGCGGAGGCACAGGTGCCGAAGGCGCAGCCGACCCGATCCGGCGCTCTGCGCGTACCCGAGGAGTCGGTCTGCGTGCACGCGTTGCTCGTCGGGCAGGCGGGCGCCGGCGTCCCGCTGGCGCCGCCGCCGGCACCGCCGATCCCCGCCGCCCGCAACCTCGCGTCCTCGGCGCCGCACCGGCTCAGCGCGTCCTCCAGCGCCTCCGGGCCCATGGTGCGCTGCAACAGCTCCATCAGCATCGTGACCTTGCGCTCCATACTCTCCATCTTCTCCCTGGGCAGGGTTTATTTAGGGGGCAGTGTCGGTAGTGGGGGAGGGAGAAAATAATCAAGTGTTGTGGTGGAGGCCCAGGGACGGAGCTGAAGATGCTGCGAGTGGCGGGCACCGCGGGAGTCGCCGCAATGTCGGCAGCGGGGGCGGTCGTCACTACCGGCTAGCAACGTCCAGTTTGGGCTTCGAGCTGGCGACAGTCTTACGCCGTTACTCTCGCTCGCACTCAAACCGGGGAGGTAACCAAGCTGACGGCCGTGGCGAGGGACGGAGCCGCGCTCGCCCTGCCGGGGGCAGGATGACGGACAGAGCTGGCGCGGCGCGCCACCACAACCCAGACAGTGGGGCGATACATTCCTCCCGCGGCCGTTGCCGGTGTTTCTTCACTGCCGCCACGTGTTCGACGTTACGGCTACGTGACCTCCGGCGCTAGAGGCCGACCCGTGCCTGAGCGTGCATATCTGGCTCGTCGAAGCGCGCGTTCAGCTGGAGCCGCCTGACCAAACGACGGACGAGCCGAAAGCCGGCGGGGGGCTTCCGGGCCGGCCGACTCGCGTAGCAGCAACCGACCGATTGACCGGCTGATGCGGCGGCCAATCCATTTAACTGCGTTAACGCTCTCCGGAGGAGTCGCCGAGTGACCGAGCAGACACGCATAGCGAGCGTAATTTTCCGCGGCGTGCACCGACACGCGTCCAACCCATCTGCTGCCGAGGGGGCCGGTGCTCAAGCCCCAAATCTCCCCCCCCCCCCACGCATCATCCATAATGATCCTCGCAGCACCGTCCCGTGGGCATGGCCAGATGCCCTCGCCCCCGCTGCGTGGATTTACTCAGAGTTCACACGCGCCGTGGGGTCGCGACCTCGCAGATTTGAAAACCGATTCGCCGTAGGCTGGTGATTCGATGACATTTAGCAAATTTAGGACCGCGATTCTGTTCAAGGTTGGATTCGATTATGTTCCATTTTAACCGTCGTGTTTGCGCTTTTGTGTTTTTGAATGAAGAGCGCTATTTGCTAAGTCCAATGCCACCATAGTATTTTGCATGCGATTTGCATTGATTGCATGTAATCAATTCTCACACACTCGATCCGATGCACGTATAAAGACGGTCAGAATCGATGCATTATTGCACGCCTAGTGAATAGAAATTTGCAAATTAAATCTAATTCTGTCTGACCTCTGTACGTTCAGAAGACAAAACAAAGTCAAGTCAATCTGTTTCCACGCTCAAATACTTTGGGAGTCGTGCCCATATCCTTTTGCAACCCAAAGCGTGGTCAGTACGTGCATAGGGAACACTGCCTGAGAAGTCCAGGTGTTGTAGGCTTGGGGCTGCGAGGTAGTCAGGAGATGACAGCACAGCAAATCATATTATTGTTCAGCGTCAACCCTCCGTATGCATGTTAGGTTTTCTCCGAGCTCTCTTGTATCCTCGCACGTGAAGCCAAAGAATCAAAATAGAGTTGGCCAAACATCCCAATGCAGGACCCAACTGCAAAAAATTTTTTGGGCAATGAGGTTTTCCAGCTTAGCACAAAGGGCATTTCTCTAAACCGGGAGGAATCGCGAGCCTAGTCAATGGCGACATCCACATTTGACCTCACGACCTTCCAATTAAGTCTGCGCCTGTCGAACCACGGTGCCACCCTGGCCGGGCGCGGTGCTCTCACCGACTTTCGCGGTCGCTGGCGAGCGTCGACGTGCTGTTCCCTGAGGGCGACCGTTCCCAGCGGCCATACCCCCACGAGTCGCCGCTGGGCGGCGTGGTCGCGGTCGAGCTGGGCGTGGGCGTCCCGCGTTGCAGGGACGCCGACGCCGCCGCCGCCGCCGGACCTCGCCCCCCGTCCACCGTCGACCCCCGTCCACCGCCGTCCAACTCGATGGGCACCACCGTGTAGCCATGCAGCGAGTGCAGCGACGCCGGCGGGGTGCGCGACCTCGCGGGGCCTGGTGACGCGTACGCCAGCACGCCACCTCCTCCTCCGTCTCGCGCCGAGTCGGAGCGGCGCATGCTGCCGGTGCCGCGCGCGTAGCCCTGCTCGTAGTACCCGCCCGTCGCCACCGCCCGTGCCGCCGCCGCCTGGTACTGCTGCTCGCTGGTGTAACTGGCGTTGGAGGCGAGGCTCTGCCGCGCGCTGCTGCCGACGCTGCCGCCGGCGTCCGCGTAGTAGCCGAGCAGCACGGGGTCGGAGCGCAGGCCCTCGTTGCGCACCAGCACCACGTTGCGGTTGCGCAGATCCTCGTCCGGGCGCACGTCTCGCCGCTCAAGGATAGCGCCGGGCGACACGGGGGAGGCGGGCGGCGGCGGCTGCTGAAGGTGGTGGCGAGGGGCCGGCGACGGGCTCCCCCTGCCCCCGGGGCCCACGCCGGACGGGCCCGCGTTCCCCCATTCCCAGGTGCCGCCGGGAGGCCCCGGGCTCGGCCCGTAGCCCGAATGGCGCTTGGACGGAGAGGGCAACGCCGGCGAGGCATAGCCGGGATTGGCGGCGGCGGGGGTGACGCGCCACAGCGTCTCGTCCTGGAGATCCACGGCGCAGGGGGTCGGAGGAAAGAGCAAGATGGAGAAATGCACAGAGGTGAGTGGGGTGGGGGGGGTGGTGGGAGCGCGATCGCGACCCAGCGCTTCGGAGGATATGTAGAGTTGTGAAACGTTTCAATGAGACGGGCTGCTAGGTAGTTGTGGAATGGCAGTACAGCAAGCGGGATAATGACGCCGTACAAGTTAATCTCTGTGCATTATCCCCCCGTACGCATCGTGGGAGGTTTCTTTTCCCGAGGCAAACAAATACTTTAAAAATAACGAATCAAACATCCACTCTGCACGATCTCTCCGAAAAATTATCTAAGATAAGTAAGCAAGTATTTATTTTCTTAAAGTGGACAGGTGTGCTCCCGATCGTGACTACAGCTTACATGTTCTTCTGTTCTTTTGGTAAAGTCACGTAGAAGGGAAACATTTAGAACTGGCGATTTGAAATGCAAAACATTGCGATGCGAACCTTTTCGTCGCAAGAGCTACCATTTAAGGTTTGTATGTTATTTTATATACGCAATATTATTTATATATTATTTATATATTACACTATTTTAAGGCCACGGTGTTATTGATTAACATATCAAGTTATTTTGTTGGCGTGAAGACAAGTCAGGTGTTTGTGGGGAATGTCATGCAAAATGTGTCAACTGCTCTTCTATCGTGCAACGGTTAAGAGCCCGAAATAAATTAAGTGGACTCACGTTCACAATATTCCCCAAACGACGTTACATTATCCCCCTCCCCTTCCTCTCTTCCCTTCCCCTCCCCATGCTTCTCCCGATCATCATCCCTACGGTGCTAAGGCTGTGAGGAGCCCAAGTGTGCTTCCAGCGGGTCCCCCCTTGACGCGCTGATGAACTGTGTTTCCCCCGGATGTCTGTTTGTCTGTTGGGTTCTTTAACAATAAAAAAACACGACAAGTACAGTGAGGGAAAAAAAGTATTTGATCCCCTGCTGATTTTGTACGTTTGCCCACTGACAAAGAAATGATCAGTCTATAATTTTAATGGTAGGTTTATTTGAACAGTGAGAGATAGAATATCAAGAAAAAAATCCAGAAAAACGCAAGTCAAAAATGTTATAACTTTATTTTAATGAGGGAAATATGTATTTGACCCCTCTACAAAACATGACTTAGTACTTGGTGGCAAAACCCTTGTTGGCAATCACAGAGGTCAAACGTTTCTTGTAGTTGGCCACCAGGTTTGCACACATCTCAGGAGGGATTTTGTCCCACTCCTCTTTGCAGATCTTCTCCAAGTCATTAAGGTTTCGAGGCTGACGCTTGGCAACTCGATCCTTCAGCTCCCTCCACAGATTTTCTATGGGATTAAGGTCTGGAGACTAGCTAGGCCACTCCAGGACCTTAATGTGCTTCTTCTTGAGCCACTCCTTTGTTGCCTTGGCTGTGTGTTTTGGGTCATTGTAATGCTGGAATACCCATCCACGACCCATTTTCAATGCCCTGGCTGAGGGAAGGAGGCTCTCACCCAAGATTTGACGGTACATGGCCCCGTCCATCATCCATTTGATGCGGTGAAGTTGTCCTGTCCCCTTAGCAGAAAAACACCCCCAAAGCATAATGTTTCCACCTCCATGTTTGACGGTGGGGATGGTGTTCTTGGGGTCATAGGCAGCATTCCTCCTCCTCCAAACACGGCGAGTTGAGTTGATGCCAAAGAGCTCCATTTTGGACTCATCTGACCACAACACTTTCACCCAGTTGTCCTCTGAAGCATTCAGATGTTAATTGGCAAACTTCAGACGGGCATGTATTTGTGCTTTTTTGAGCAGGGGGACCTTGCGGGCGCTGCAGGATTTCAGTCCTTCACGGCGTAGTGTGTTTCCAATTGTTTTCTTGGTGACTATGGTCCCAGCTGCCTTGAGATCATTGACAAGATCTTCCCGTGTAGTTCTGGGCTGATTCCTCACCGTTCTCATGATCATTGCAACTCCACGAGGTGAGATCTTGCATGGAGCCCCAGGCCGAGGGAGATTGACAGTTATTTTGTGTTTCTTCCATTTGCCAATAATCGCATCAACTGTTGTCACCTTATCACCAAGCTGCTTGGCAATGGTCTTGTAGCCCATTCCAGCCTTGTGTAGGTCTACAATCTTGTCCCTGACATCCTTGGAGAGCTCTTTGGTCATGGCCATGGTGGAGAGTTTGGAATCTGATTGATTGATTGCTTCTGTGGACAGGTGTCTTTTATACAGGTAACAAGCTGAGATTAGGAGCACTCCCTTTAAGAGTGTGCCAGAAATCTTTCTGATTGAGAGGGGGTCAAAAATTATTTCCCTCATTAAAATGCAAATCAATTTATAACATTTTTGACATGCGTTTTTCTGGATTTTGTTGTTGTTATTCTGTCTCTCACTGTTCAAATAAACCTACCATTAAAATTATAGACTGATCATTTATTTGTCAGTGGGCAAACGAACAAAATCAACAGGGGATCAAATACGTTTTTCCCTCACTATACATTACCAAAACGAGGCGTGAGAACACGCATGGCCCAGGCGGTGCCCTCGTGTTCCAAATCGATGCGGCATCACGCTTCAATTGCGATCCGCAGATTCACGTCCCCACGTACGGAATGCTGTTTTTTTTTAGATTCTCTAAGCTGCCGCCCGCTGTTATGCAGAGTAGATTTTTATTCTATTGAATGCGTTTGAAAAAAAGCAGAACCCGGCGGATTCATTTGTATAACTTTTCTTTGTTGTGTTATTTTTTTTTTATTTCCACGAAGCTGCGCGCGTGGCAATTCAAAACATTGAACGCATAATGGGATGATGATGTTCGGTTGGTCAGAGTTTTTTCAAATTTTCATATTTCAGGAGAGACGGGGGTAAGAGACAGCTGATGAATTGAGACAAAAGCGAGAGGATGAAGGGAGAGCGGGCCGACTGGAGCCGAGGTTTTGTGTACACGTGCTCTAATTGCACACGTCTTTCACACCTGTTTACTCATATCCTCCATTCACGTTTAGATTTGGTAATGGCAAATCCACGTCGGTCTCGGAAATACAAATGTATTCCGAGCACGGGGAGAAATACAGGCGGAGACGAAGCAGCTGTCATCATCATCACGACTACAAGAAATGAACATTTGATGTGCCCCAAGCTAAAAAGAAATGTAATGGATTTCCATTATTTGGAATTGTGATTCATATCCGGAATGTATTAAGATTGCTGTCTCCTCTTCATCAATTTGCTCCGTTTCTCATTTCTCATCTCATTCCTCCAGTGCGTTCACTCCGTTAGCCTAAATGTAACGTTAGAAAATCACGTGCATCACATTTGCAGACAATAATATTGATGATTTAGTACATGTCTTACAAGCGCAAGGTTATCATGAAGATGCTCTGTTTCACAGACATAGCCTGGAGGAGTGTGTCAGCAGCAACGCCCCAACTACAGACCGCCACGTCTCAGAGCGCTTTGCACCTCACATCCTCTCAACACATTTCCAAGGGCGCCCCCCTGCGGTGGCAGCTGTCCCCGTGTAGCACAAGGTGCCTCGGCACCTGGCCTGCAAACGGGCATGAGCCTGCCGGTCGATGGTAAAGTCACGAAGAGAAAATCTAAACAGAGTAATTTTGCGGTGAAATGTTTTCAAATTCGAACCATGATGCAGACACACAACGACCTGCTCGTTTGGAAAGATGTCATGGGATTTTTTACGTCCACTACGAAGCAGATGGCACGTATTTTACGGTCAAAACACGACCACAGTATTAGCCAGGGCGGTCTTCCAGATTCGAACCACGAACCTCCGCGACAATCGGCAAACGCGATACCACGGGGCCCGTTTCATCACCCCAAGTTACCGGTAAATGTAATCAATTCTCACACGTGCAACTCGATGCGTGTATCATGAGCCTGGGGAATTGGAGTTGATTGACGAACCGATGAATCGTTACACGCCTGGTGTAGAACATCGGTGATTCGTCGCGTTATATGCAAAATGCAAATACAAACATTGTGTCTGCGCAGCGCCAGGTGCAAGACTGAAACACAATACCAGCAGCTGGTCACACGAAACATCGTGTCCTCTAGTTGGTAATTTACATCCGTGTGAAGTTTAGTCGAATTTCATGGAGTATGTTTGTTCTAGGCAACCAACCGCAGGTGACGAGAGTTAGAGAAAAAATATTCTGGTTAAAATCCACCAGATAGCCACCAATACAAGGTGGCCGGGTAGAAGACAGCACAGCAAGTAGGTCGCTGGCCTATCACAAGGTTTGTGTTGAGTGTTATCCCCTGGAATGCACAGACGTATTGGGAGCACTCCAATGTCCTCAAACAATGCTCAAACACTCGATAAGGCTTTGGGGGCCAGACATCGCGAGTGGGGAATATTCCTACTCAGGGAGACTTCCCGGGCAATGAATGCACCTCCGATTAGCACGGTTGGGCTACGGACGGTGCGAAAGAAGTTCAACGTACAATGTAGAACATTAGAATCTGTATTAGTATTGTTATTGTCGTTAAACGATCCTGTGAGGTGCAAGCATCTCACCCGCATGTCCCCGTTGGAGGGGCGAGGGGCCCCGTAGACAGCCTGCGCTGGCTCCATGAAGACCAGCTTGAGCACCGCCTGATCCCTCACCTCCCTGCGTGGGAGAGGCGGGGGGATGGGGGGTGCAGACGAGAATGAACGACCACACCTCATGGATTACGACGACTGGCAGATAAACAGAAGAAGAGACGGACGGACGGACAATCACACCGATGAGCAGACAAATAGGATGGGGCGAGGGAGAGTAGATGGGAGGACACAACTGTGAGTAAGAGCAGAGCGGACGCATCCGGGATGAGTCAAGGCAGACCGGCCGACAGTTGGGACAAAGGTGGCAACTCGGCGCACACTGTTGCAGTGGTGCAGGGTGGAGACCGCGACGCGATGAATGAAGCAGATTTAAGAATCCAAGAGTGAATGCAATCTGAATAGATGATCGGAAACACGTGGCTTGAGCAGTTTGAAGGCAGTAGCGGATTTATATTAAGGGATAAATGAACTGTGGTACAGAACACAGCACTAGTGGCTGAGTGTGAACTCAGCCCTAGGCCTTCGGTTGAATGGCTCCTAAGCGAAGCATCATCTGCAGCTGACCGAGTCGAAATACAACCCTCATGAATTAATCCCAAATCAGGAGTCATTAATGGTTTTCCGACTCCCAACCTGAACCTCATCAGCGGCTTTGTGAACCCTGCGCCATCTCCCTCGCGAGAGGACGCCAGGCCGCGGGTGGTTCCAGCTTCGTCTCCGCGGCGACAGCGGCACGGTCTCCGTGGCGACAGCGCCTCACCCGACGATGTCATTGAGCTGGTTGAAGGAGCTTTGCTTGTGGTCGCCCACGAACACGATGGCGTCGGGCGAGGTGAGCAGTGCCATGGTGAGCGCCGTGGGGAAGGCCTTGACGAACAGTGCCCGCACCGTGTCCATCGTCGTCACCGAGTTGGGCATCACCGTCTGCCGCATTTCGCCACCGTACTGCAGGTACAGCATACCTGGCGGCAGTGGCGGGCGGGAGGGGGGCGGAAGGGGGGGGGGGGGGGAAGCGTGCAGAGGTAAGGGGAAAATGTCGCACTCGTTAGCCAGGCTTCGCCGCCAAATCGACTGCATTTTTGTCATCGATTGTTCGGGCCGAGTGAAGAATCTTTTCCTTTCCCAAAAGTAGGAAGCCTCCTAAAAGTCAGGCTCAGTGCAATGTGGCTGATGATGTCAATGACGTCACCAAGCCCCGCCCATAAGCTCCTGTCCAGTGGCACACGTGGGGACAGAGGTGGCGCTTTTATTACAACCTTTTTTTTTACATTATCCGGTTGGTGGAGCAATATGAAATGATAATCGGCGGGGGAGTAACCAGCCGAGCTTTGGCTGAATCCGATGGTCACACACTCACCGAGCGGCTTGTCCTTGCTCTGATTGGTGGAGCGGATGACAGGGAGTGAGGCACGCTGCTTAGAGCCGCGTGTGAAGCCGCGTGGGCCGTCTGCCTCCGATGTCACTTCCTGGCTGTGCGCCGACGGGTAGGCCCCGTAGTCGGCCATGTCGGGCGAGGCCGGGTACATTACGCCCTAGCACAGCGACGACGACAAAACAAAAAGCACGCAGAATATCAGATAGGCAAACCTAAACAAACAAAACAAGAGCATATCACACGCGGAGAAATAAAAACACACGGGAGCATATCACTGCACAAGACTAAAAACAAATCAAACAAATTAAACAAACAGCATTGTATTTTTTGATTTAAAGCTTTCGTGACTGCAGTAATTCATATTCTTAGTTTTTTCGGTAAAGTCACGTTGAAGAGAAACAACAAAATAATAAAATATATATAAATATATGTAATATATAATATATTATTGTTTTATATATATTTTATTATTTTTTTGTTTCTCTTCAACGTGACTTTACCGAAAAAACTAAGAATATAAACAGCATTGTATTTCAAAGCACGCCGCTGACGGTAAGCTTGTAGTTCAGAGGAATGCCAGCGCCCCTGTAAACATTCAACATTTGGTCAACGCAGGCATGTGGTTGGAACCATTGGACCAGACATTCAACGTTTACTGGGTCACTCCTTCCAACAAAAAACGAACGAACCCAGCCCTCCTTCAGTGGCGCTTATTGTGGCCGTGTATAAAAGAATGCCACCCACCACCACCTCCTCTGTGATGTCATCCACAATTGTACGACAATTGCTGCTGCTGCTACCAGTGTCACTTACAAAGCTAAAACTCGATTCCTCCGTGGGACCCCAGCCCCCTCCATCACAGTTATCGCCAAGAGGCAAAGCCCTGCAGGAGCCGGCGCTGAAATGAGATACTGCAAGACCCCTTGCCGAGTACCGGCCAAGGGACGTCTCTTACCTGCTGCGGACAAAGTCATTTCTTTTTCCCTCTTCGCTTGCGTTTAGCCTGGGGATGAAAGTGTCTACCCAGTCCCTGCAATTGCGGTCTTAAATACCGGATCGCGTTCATACATTGTATGACTTGTTTTGTTTTGGTAAAGTATTGCCGTACGGATACTTTCCCGGTACGTTGCCTCTATGCAGAGACCATTTCCTTCATCTCTGCTGAATTTGTGCAAATGCATTGCCTGGGATTTCACGTGCTGTCTGGCTCTCTCCCAAGGTGTTTTTGGGTCGCACCGTGTGATTTTCTGGCGCGGTGTTCGACGTTTCGCTCCACGTGCCAGGAACTTCTGCAGGAACTGAATACCTTAACAGCATCCGGCGCAACCCGACAGCCCATCAGAGAGCTCCGTACAAATGCATCTCTAAATTCGAGATTAATTTTCGAGAATGGATTGCATTGACCAAATCTTCTCCATTTGTCACTGGTGACCAAGCAAGGCTGAGGTAATCAACCCGCTCACTCTGTAGGAGGTGATTCTATCTCACTCTGGAGGTGATTTTATCTCACTCTGTAGGAGGTGATTCTCTCTCACACTGTAGGAGGTGATTCTATCTCACTCTGTAGGAGGTGATTCTCACTCTGTAGGAGGTGATTCTATCTCACACTGTAGGAGGTGATTCTCTCTCACACTCTGTAGGAGGTGATTCTATCTCACACTGTAGGAGGTGATTCTATCTCACTCTGTAGGAGGTGATTCTATCTCACTCTGTAGGAGGTGATTCTCACTCTGTAGGAGGTGATTCTCACACTGTAGGAGGTGATTCTATCTCACTCTGTAGGAGGTGATTCTATCTCACTCTGTAGGAGGTGATTCTCTCTCACTCTGTAGGAGGTGATTCTCTCTCACACTCTGTAGGAGGTGATTCTATCTCACACTCTAGGAGGTGATTCTATTTTATTCTCGAGTCCAGCATAAAGGCGCCACTCGGGCTAGGTCGCGTTGTCGCTAAGGAGAGACAGGGGAATAACTTTTTTGCCCGAGGCTGACGTTGTAATTATTCATACAATGGATTATGCATGTTTGGAATATTTAAGCACGACTGCAAATTCTCACGGCAAGTATGCACGAGATGGGTGTTGCCTTTTATGCAATGAGAAAAACAATAATGCCATTCAATTATCCAGGAAAGCCTCACCGGGTCTCGAGGCTATTTATTTGCATTGGGATGTTTGGCCACTTCTGCTAAAAGAGTGTCTTGTGATGCCAGTTCGATTCATTGCGGAACAAGATTGACATCTTGGCTCAACCACAGAGCCGCTGCTGCTGCTCCCTCCATTCCAGCCCGGAATGCCATCGGAGCCAGCTCAGCGCCCTCCGACCCCTGGGCCACCCGGCTGCCTCCCGAACCGACCTTCGAATCGACGGCCCGACGCATGGCTACGACGTCCCGAACATTCGCCGTACGCTGCCATCGCTCACACACCCCACCCCACCCCGACCTTGGTAGAGCTGACGGGCGCCGGTGCCGTGTGGGAGTGCAGGTGCCGGTAGCTCCCGTACAGGCCCCGCTCGTGGTTCCTGGGCGGTGCGCCGCTGCGCAGGGCGTGCGGCACGGTGGCGGTGAGGCGCGGCGGGCCCGGAGTGCCGCTCGCGTGGCCGACGGCGGCGTCGGCGTCGTTGAGCCGCGCCCCGTCCACCGTGTGGCGCCGGCTCACGGGCCGCTCTAGCCGCGTGCCGCCGCGCTCGCGCCCATTGCGCGGGGCCGCCGACAGCACCTCGTCCCTGGAGAGCAGCAGGGGCCGGCGGAGCACCACGCCTTCTGTGGGACGGTGCGGGGGGGGGAGAGAGAGCGTGAGAGAGCGTAGGAGAGCCCGGGAGGATGGGAGAGCACGTGCGACGGAGCAAGAGGTGTGCGCCAAGGAGCAGGCGGAGCACGTGGCGTGGATCTCGGGTGCGGGAGATGACGGGGGGGGGGGGGGGTGAGGTGAGATAATTGCGTGGGAGGATACAGGGAGGCGTGGACACAAGTGGGGAGGTGTGACGACAGCGCGTCGGAGGACGTGCGAGCGCGTGGGGGGAGAGAGGGAGGCGGGAGGGAGTGGAGGAGGCGGCAGACGATTGGGAAGAAGAGAGATGAGCAGAGTGGCGGTGAGCGCAGCATGGGGTCAGAGAGAGAAGTTTGGTGGTGGTGGGGGTGGTGGTGGGGGAGCAGTGGTTGGGGGGGCCGGAGGCGGATTCAGACAAGAGGGAGGGAAGATCGAACATGTCAGGATTCGGCAGCATTTATCAACGCCCGCAAAGTCCAGCGTGCACTTCGTGTTTAACAAATCAGAAACGCTGCTCCCAAACCGATCGACCGGCTCTGTTGTGCTGCAACAATTGGTGACTGCCCTCTCAGGTCACCCGTCTCTGACACGAGACAAACCGCGGCACTTCCGCGCACCGCACAAACAATGAACCGAGCAATCACATCACTGTCTGCTGATGGCACTTTATCTGTAATCAGGTGAGATGTTACATGTATAGACAAACACAAAGATCCTCCCCCCCCCCCCCATAGCTTTAACAGGCTGTTGGGGCAAGTGGTGTTAGCGAGCACCTATGAAGGCCGGAACGGTACACAAGGTGGGTGGGTGGCCAGCACCACGCTCGACCGCCTTTGTCTCCCCAGTGGCGATTGCTTACACACCACACCAGGTACTTATTTTAGGCTGAGTCGACCTAGGGGAGGCCCGGGACCGGTTCAGATATTCATCACCGATGTTGGCCGTCAACAGGTATGCAACCCGGGTTGCCTGGTTCGTAGCACAACGTGCTAACCGCTACACTAATGCTCCCCTATACATTTGTACCAACACCTGCCATTCGCCAATAAGTGTGCCAGGCCAGGTGCAATTTGAGGCCACGTGAAGTGTCGAAGGCTTGTCTGACAGGAGGAGGTCTCGGCACAGATCCAGGTGCCGTGGGTTGACTGACTGAGATGACTGGTAGATGCACCATCTGTACCCGCTATTGTGCCAAATATACCGAATACACACACTGGTACACACTGACACACACTGACACACACATCTTGCACTGTGAATGTCCTAAGCACTTTAGCAAAGTCCCTATTTGTTGCACGCCCGGTAAAACCAGTCAGTCGCGTTCGCACGAGGCAGCGCGGCACGTCACACAGAGCCAGACACGTTCCCCGCGCCGTCCAATCATCAATGGGCTCATTCCATCATGTTTCTTGGATAATTTTTTACTCGGGGAAGGTCATAAAAACACGAAACGCGACAACGTGAACATGGCGCCTTTCACATATTCACCACGTGTCCGATTCTAGCTTTGGTATATATAGGCAAAAGCGAATATCTCCCAAACAGCCTTTTAATAGACTGTTGAGGCAGTACTGCGAGCGATTAGAGCACCTATGAAGGCCGGCAAGAAACGCGAGGGATTAAGGTGGCCAAAAATCACGCCCGTCCTATTTGTCTCCCCAGTGGCGATGTTTGCACATCGGCAGCAGGTAATCATTTGACGCCGAGTCGACCTAACAGAGACCCAGGAGCGTTTCAGAACATTTATCTCCATTTATTATTCCTGTTCCATGGCCCGTTGGAAGGACCCCCCGGACTAGCGGTGCGGCTGGGTTGGCCAAAGCGGCCGGGGAGTCCAGCCAGGTGCCGGCTGCCCCCCCCCCCCTGCCCCACCTTTGCACAGGGACGGAGGGTGACCAGGACTTGGGCAGCCTCGAGGGAGGAAAAGACGGCAGATGTCGCTGCCCTTACGAGACTTGATGGGGGGCGAGGGGGAGCAAGGAGGAGCACGGCAGATTGCATCACCCACAGCTCTCGAGTACGCCGGTCGGGAAGCCGATGCCGCGTGCGAGGGGGGTGGGAGATTGTCAGTACCACTTGGGGTGGTCAATGGTGCCACGGTACCCCACCGTGAGCAGAAAGCTTGGTTATACGTAACCGTCTGTTTTATGGACGCACTTAAATATTTGTTTTCAAATTCCGTGGCGACCTCACACGTGTTTCCTTCCACCGCACCTCCGATTAGCACGGTTGGCTACGTACGGTTGCGAAAGAAGTTCAACATACATACATATCACGATTAGTTTGTTTTTCTTCATTCCAAATGTATATATATTTTTGTTTCAACAATAAAACTACAATTCCCTTCTTTCACAAACATTTCCCCGCAAAGAGTCACCAACCACGGCACTATTGCCACCCTACGTGCCTGCATAATCTGGAAAAAAATAAAACCCTTGAGGAAATCACCGTCAGCATTTGCCACTCTGGATGGTACCCGATTATAAATGTTTGGGCCAATGGCTCAAGGAACGAGGAGACGCACGGTGGCCTGGGGTGGGGGGGGTGAGAACCACGACGGGCCCACACGAGACATCGTTCGCGTCACTCAAATCTGTCCGCCGCTCGCTCGTGATTCCGACACGTCCGGCTGCACCGCGCCACGCCGCTGCGACGAGCCGGAGAGCGACGTCCGCTCAGAGGCGGTTCGGCGAGCATCCGCGAGCATCCGCTCGCGTGGCGTTACGGCACTCGCGCCCGTCGGCTCCGTCAGCTCCGTCAGCCCCGACAGCCCCGACATCTCCCTCCACCCTCCCCCCCACCACCCCACTGCCACTTCCCATCGCACATTCAGTCCTGCGAGCGTGATTTAACCGAGCGAGTACCTAACGAGGTGGCCATTATCGCTTCTGCAAGGACGATTTGGCAAATGTGCTTGCGCGGACGTTTGCCGTTTGTTTTTCGACTCGGCGATTTCATGCAAAGCGGCCCAGCGGTTTGCACGGTGGCCGCCCGAGCAGCACTTTCCAACCACTCCGTGTGCTCCTCCTCATCCTCTCGTAAGCACCCACTTAGCACTCTGCCGGGCTGCACCGTGCAGCGCACGTGAAGCGAATTTGTCCCCTTCTCTCCTCTCATCGCCCAATGCCGAATGTAACGGCTCTCTCAACCAGCCGCCGCCGCCTCCTCTCGCGATGCCATCGCTCCATCTCCTTGGTGGACATCCGCTCGGGGGCTCTCCATTCCTCGGCTGATACCCCGTTCATTATTCCTGACCATCGGCCACCGTCCCGTCTTCGAGCACGTGTCCTCCCGCACCAAGGCCACTGACGTATCCGAGCACGTCGAATGACGTCTCTCAACGCGGGTCTGTAAAATGCCTCGCGACATCACTAGGCACCAGGCACGCACGGCGAACCTCGCACCGCCGCGCCGATCTGCCCGCATTCCCGGCGAAGCGTTGTAGTAAATCGTCCGTCCATCCATCAGCGTCGGCTCTGGGGTTCGGAGGTCGACGCTCGGTGCAAACGTCTCACCACTTTCCCCTTGCGGAGTTTTGGGTCCACTCTTTAATGTCATCGCCCCCCACCTCACCTCCCCTCACCCCCCCCACCAAGTCCGTCTTTGTCTTCCTCTGTGTTTTAGATAAACACTTAGCTAATAAGCAGGCGCTGATAATAGCCGGCAAAAAAACCACATCGCGGCACGGCCACCGCTCCCAGAAAAGGCACGGCTGCTAAAATATTGACCGCAGCGTTCGAGAGCTAATAACAACGTTGGGGAGATAACCGTACTTTCCAAAGTGGCGCGAGGTCGCTGCCGGCATATTCTCCAAACGGAACGCCGTGCGTCACCCTCGTTGGTTAAAGGAGGCGATGTGTGCTGGGAACAGCCACGGTTTGCGTGCAGTTTGCACGCTCGCCAAACCTCAGCCCCTATTCCGCAACTTACGTCGATCCGGGCAAATTAAATTCACGGAGATAATTACGTTCCAGCGAGGAGCGCGCCGCGCTTCCTACGAAGTTTTAGAATGCGACGGTTGAAAGTTTATCACAGTGGCTCGTACGAATAATTGTTTTTTTTCCTTTGTAAAAAAAAATAGTATTCGCACAAGTCACTTTAATACTGAAATATAACCTTTTTATTAAATGAGGCCACCTATCCCTCTACCCTCTCTGCGTCCGTGCAATGAAGAAGGGCCATTGCCCAAAAAACGTCGCCTGTTTTATATCCATTTGAAAGTCGCTGACGTGTCGAGTTTCGCTTCGTCGTTGATTGTGATCGTTGCATCGCCGGCAACGTGGCGGCAATGGAGGCTGTCGAGCCTGAACGTCCCATGAACTGCCAGCCGAGGTGCCGTCACGGCTTCCAAAAAAGCGCAGTTTTCACGACTCACCCCCGCTCCGCCTCCCTGTGTTGACCGATCAACTCCGTTGACATACAGATCAAGTCGTCACGCACCGCACACGCCCGATGATTGCTGCGCACGTCCCCCATGGATGCAGAGGACGTGCAGTTAAAGCTTCCGGTAGAGGTGTGTGTGTGCATGTGTGTACGTGTGTGTGCGCGTGTGGATTCATATTGTAGTCGAGCGGACATGGAAGGTTGCCTCTGTGGGTAGAGGCAACACGAGACGTTGGTCTGGAGACGGAAGGAGTTGTAGGACAGTGATTCACGATGCACGCATGCCACGCGCGTATTTTGTTTTTATATACGCCTGTCATCTGTGCACGTGCCGTTCGTGTTTCGAATGCCTCTGCGTTTCAGACGATTATGATACAACGGAACTGCGAACGTCCCCCTTTCATTTCTGAGATCTGAAACACAATCTCAGTCTCCGTTGCGTTCGGCGCTTCACGGGGGTGAATTTGAACTTATCTCAAAGTAGCTTGATTTAAAAAATAAAACATAAAAAACACCGATGGCATAACCGATCCGCGCCGTGCACAAAGCACAGACGGCAACACGCGATGTGGATAAAGGCACAGCCCTGCAATTACTCTCTCACGCCGCT